AGCTTATGAATTGTATTTAAATCTTTCTCATTGGCTTATAAGAGTTGTTAAAAGGTTATATTTATACAGTTGTTGTTAACTTGCTGTGTCTTGCTTTTGCATGATAAACACCAGTTTGCTACTATAGTCTTTTGCTTTTCTGAATTGAAATTTTGCAGTCAATTTATTGACATTTCATACGTTCGTACTGTTCATGATGTTTGTGTACGAAATATATTTGAAGTACAGCTACCAATCTTAGAGTGTAGGACATCATGCTTCCATATCAACAGGTTACGTATTCGAGCTTGCTTTCAGTAACTGCGAGCATTCTTATAAGTGATATGATATATGGTTTGTTATTTGTTTGCTTGCACTTGTGTTATTTTATCTACTAAACTGTTATTTCAGAGGTAAATGCATGCATTCCTGTACTGATTTTATTCTATTTTCTTGCATGTACCGTTTTTATGAGCCTGATCGAGATTATACCATGTATCTCGCACCCTGTGTCTGCGGTTGATTTATATGTCATTTCATAATAGTTTGTGCTTTTGGAGAATTTGATGTTGAAACAGGGAATGTGTCGACAGCAACCCGACCATAGAGCAGAAAACAGCCCAAGGCTACCAATGGGTCTTAAACGCAGCGAGAAAATTCCGCACCGGAGGCGTGCTTCATTTGGCTCCTGAACAATAATGTACAGGTAGCAATACACAGTTAGGAGATTGCTTTCTTATTGTGATTTTAATCGTCGGTTTGTTTTTTCATTGACGTGTACCCCATGCACATCTCCTTCATTCCTATGTGATTAAAAATAAAATAATGACACATACACATTTTTCTCCGATTCGATCGATTAAGAGCTTCACATGCTGTATAGACACCAGTCTCTTTCGTGAAGGTCTGGATGGGGTTTATTGAATAGAGAGTAATAGGCAAAAGGCGCAGAACAAATGGCAAATAGAGAAAAATAGGCAAAAGTAGAAGAAGAATGTGTTTGAAGACAAGAATGCCTCCGCTCAAGCTGAGCAATTTTCCAAGTTAAAAGGGCATAACTCAAGAATGCTAAATGACTCACAACCCAACCCCTGTCTACGTGTTGTGGTTCTTAGCATTGTGTATGAGTTTCATAAAATTTGGTGAGAAAAACTTAAGTTAGGGTGCGGAAACAAAAAAAATGCAATTTTCGACGTTAAAATGGGACCTAACTCTCGAACTGTAAGTAACTTCACTGCCAAAATTCGAACTCTGTCTGCGAGTTTTGGTTCTCAGCATTGTGTATAGTTTCATACAATTTGCATGATGCAAACTTAAGTTAGAGTGCAGAAACGAAAATGGGACAGACGGACGGACGGACGGACAGACGGAAAGACTTATGATAACCAAATTTGCAGGCAGTTGTATCATGAGCTTGGTGTGTGTTATTTACCAAAGTCAGATCACTCTGACCTTGATTTTGACCTTTGACCCCTATGATATTAAAACCCTTCCAATTCGTGTTCGGCTCATATATTTAGTACCGTAAAACTTAGTTCAACAAAAGTTGGTACTAGTATACAAGGGTTGTGGTAGTGTCGTATACCAAATTCAGGTCTCTCTTACCTTGACCCTTATGAAAGTAAAACCTTGTCGGATTTTTCTACTATAGAACTCTTAGGTTGTCCAAACTTGGTATGCTGATACAACATGGGGTAGGGGTGTTTCATAAATAAATTAATTTAGAGCTTAAACCTCTATCCTATGATAGTAAAACATTGTATGATTTGTGTTTGGTGCATTAATTGTGTACTGAAGCACTTAGTTTGACCAAACTTTGTATGCAGAAGCATCATTCTGACCTTGACTTTGACCTTTTATTTCTGAATTTACGGTAAACCAACTATGTTCCTGAGTCAGTATAATTCTTTCAGATTGACATATCAGTAACCATGTGTCAATCTAACACTGGCAAAGGCAATGATTATATAAAAATCTCAAAATGAAATTGTCTCAATACTGAATTTCATATCAGCAACTTAAATGCATGTACGGCCGGGGGTATTTATGCGGACAGCTCTAGTTATCTCTAAGGTATCATTTTTTAAAACTTAATTTTGCTGACTGAAAAAAACAGCAAATTTGAATACTGTTCTACTAACTAGATATAAGAAGATGTGGTATGAGTGTCAATTATAACTACAGAGTTATCTCTCTTTACCCATCTTCCACACAAATGATGTCATGATGACTTTTATGCGTGTTTTGTTGTGCTGTGCATAATTAATATTATCAGAATGAACGGAACAAAAAGACTTGTTTTAAAGTGTGAATGAACGTGTCAAAATTTGTTATGCCTGAAAGGGTCGTGTGATAAGGAAAATAAAGAATTTTAATTTAATTTTGAATACTGTCGAAAACCTAATATTGATGTCTAAACGTCTTCTTTATACATATGTCCTTGGATTGCTGTTTCTTTGACATTTACCACAAATCTCGTATTTTCCGTATGTGTTAGTACACCTTGATCTGTCTGTGAAGTAAAATTAAACAATATATATTAAATCATCTATTAGTTTTGTGAAAATGTGTAATATTGCATAAACATGTCCAATTAACAAGATCGAGTTATGAGAGTCTTGGTGGGATGGGGTTTAGAGAATAGAGAATTATGGGCAAAAAATGCAGAATATAGGGCAAAAAAATAAAGAATAGTGAATTATGGGCAAAAAATGCAGAATGTAGGGCAAAAAATAAAGAATAGAGAAAAACAGGCAAAAAAAATTAAAAATAGAGAATAATTGTGTGCTAAAATATAAAGAATAGAGAATAATTGGCGAAATAAATAAAAAAAATAGAGAAAAATTGTAAAAAAAAATAAAAGAAGAAAGAAATGAAGGACCATCCCCCATCAAGACCCTCAATTATGGCATTTTCCATTGGGGTGATTAACATCATAAACTTGCATAAAAAAATAAATACAACAGTAATAATATACTTCTTTCTTCAAATAAACCAAAAACAAACAATTTGGACTTTGTATAGTCTAGGCATATTAAGTTTGGTCATATCATGAAACGAAAGACTGCATGCTTGTTGTAAAGGAAAGAAAGCAAATAAAAAACTGGAACTTATAAATCCTATTCATAGAAACGCGACTTTTTATTTTGTACATCCGCAGAACCGATAGCCGTTATAGGGTATGCGAATCACAGGCGCTTGGGAATGGACCCCTCTTTTTCTAAACATTTTGTTTGTGTATTTTGATTATTATTTAGTAAATACCTTGCAATATTTTTACTTATTCAATGAGTTCTACTCTTTTCCATACGATATTATAGAATAACAGTACTTTATATTGTTGACCCTCGATCTATATTCTCATTTCAATGAAATAGAGGGTCAAAATTTATAAATTACTGTTATTGTAATATCGTATGGAAAAGTGCAGAACACATTTAATAAGTGAAAATAAGTTAAAATATTACAGAATATTTAAACAAAGAATTAAAACACAAACTTGAAAAAATTAGAAAAAGGGGGCGGGTCCATTCCCCAAGCGCCTGTGTTGCCAGTTGATCAATCTAAATAAAGATACAAAAATGTAGTACGAAATATCTATTTGCATGCATACAAACCGTATTTTTCAGGTCCAAATATTAAAAAGAAAAAAGGAAACCATTTATAATAATTAAAAAAAAGAACAAGAGAACAAAAAGCATTAAGCAGTTATTAAAACGAGGACATAACACCCATTTGAAATTCTAGTTTGCTTTTGTTACATATTTTATGTTATGGCCCGAGAACACAGTTATTTCGTAGTGCATTTCTTTTAGACAAAAAACGCAAATTTAAAAATCGCACCTGCTCTATCCAAAAAAGATTTTTACCGTGTAGTGTACTACTTTTGGGACAAATTATATCAACATTATAGAAAAGTCTATCGGCTCTAACTCAGAATATGGATAATTTTATGTTAAGGGGGTCTGTAATTCAGTATGACAGCTTCAGACATACTAATTCAAGTTTTGACCTTTTCAAACTGGACCAAATTACCACTTTGCCTAAAAATTCATGCCACAAATTTTTTGTCATGCAATTTCATCCCCTACTTACAATTTTAGGCATAAAATATAAAGAAATAAATTTCGAAGGTGTATGAAAAAAATTTGCAAGTTATACACTGTCCACACCAGGGACTCAAGATTTCTAACCAATATTGTCGCCCTATCCGGCGATATACTAAATGAAGAAATATGCTTAAAGTCATTTCAGTCATGACACACTGACATGAGAGCTCCTGAAAATAGTTAATTTTCTTACAATTATGATCCATGATTTAAAGTTTTATTTAGGCAGACAAATACTTCTACATTATTATTATTGTCCTTCAATATATTTTTCTGCCTCTGTACTACTTAAAATTAAAGTCAGATTTGTTGCCCAGTGACCTCCCGCACTCGAGGCGAACACGCTAACACGAGACTACCGAGGCGGGTTTTATTAATAAAAAAATGTGATTCAAATCTTAATAATAATAGTAGCTCATGAGCGGTCACTTGAACCACATATAATAAAGTTCTTCTCAAAATGGAAATTCCGAAAGCTTCAAAATCAACAGTTAGTCTGAAAATATGAAACAATGTTATACCCTTGTTTTGTTTGTTTTTATTACCTGCAAGGTATAACCACGTATATTCAAATACGCCTGAAATTAACGGTGTACCCGACTTACTACTTCTATTATCCATTCTCGTGGATTTTTTAATATTATTTGGAAGTTACATATACAAATTAATGCTTTTATCGATTTCTTTTCGATGGAAAATATGAGAACTACACCAGTCCTTTCCATTTTTATTCAGAAGCAATCAGAAATCCAAAATGACCACCGTATGTAAAATGTTAAAGAGATTGGAACGTCATTTTCACCATGGCCGTCACTTTGAAACGAATTTTCCTATGTATTTATAAATGAAATATCGAACGATAAAATTCTATTTTTCACCTTATTATTGATTCAAAACCTGCTGAATGGCAGAGCTATCACATCGTTGCAGTTTATTATTCCTTAACCGTGACTGTTAAGATGCCAGAATCGATTTAAAATTGTTTATTTCATAATCAATTATGGATCAAGTTTTAAGTTTGAATAAATAGATCGTCAAGAAATTGACATTTTTTAAAATTAAGAAAACACCTCCACTAAATGATTAAGTGTGTCGTTATTCGGAACTCTCCAACACTAGGTTATTTTTAGACGATGAAGGATGCTGACTGTGTTCAAGAATATGACACAATGTTATTAAACCATGGTTAGAAATGGTTTGTTTACCAAAGTGATGGGACAAGCCTGGAATAAAATTTCTAAATACAGATCAAAGGAAATAAGAATACTTTTATTAGGTAAGTTAAATAACAATATATTATTCTATTCACATTTATTATTATTCTTCTAATTAATATTATGTATCTATAATACGATAATAAACAAATTTCAGTTATATATGATTAATAAGAGAACCAAAAAAATAAAAAGGTTTTCAATAAAAGGTTATTAGTTCTTCTAAATTGAACCCGCTCTCTTTGAATGTAGACATCTGTTTGTAAATCTTTGCATCAGTCAGACGTTTAGTGTCTGGCATATATCGAGGTATGTACTTCATCTACGCTCTTATAATAATGTTTACACATCACAAATGCATATTTCATGTTGCAGATACATATATTTTCATGATTGCACATGAAAACAAATAATTGTCTAGGTCACACAGATATATTCTAAGTTTAATGCAGAGTAAATATCAATACAGATGTGTTGAATTCAACACGCAGCTGTGCTCTTCAATGCAAAAATGTATAGTGGTCTACAAATAATCCAGCCCGAATCGGTGTTAGGGTCCGCCTTGCGCATGCAGTCTGCTTGACAGATATCTAGCAACTGAACAGATTTCGATCGAATAGGTGCTAGGGGCCGACTTGAATTTAAGTAGGGGTGTTAGTTTTTGCTCCATGCAGTTGAAGGCCTCATAGTGACTTTGACTTGATGAAGAACAGCAATATTTTCTAAGTGCTTATCTTAATGAAACTGAATCCTGGTTAAAACACTTCAAGCTCAGTCCTCATCATATAAGGGTATCCAGTGGATGGGGTTAATAGAATACAGAATAATTGGGAAAAAGAGTAGAATAAAGGGCTATAAAAATAAAGAATAGAGAAAAATAGGCAATAAAAAAAGAATAGAGAGTAATGGGCAAAAGAAATAAAGAAAAGAGAAAAATGGTGAAAACCTCCCATCCTAAATCTCTCATATCCTTCCTGCTCTACTTCAAACATTATTTATAACGATCGTAATGTTCAAATTTTGCTATGAAAAACCCGAAAAAAATATATGGGTTGTACTTTTTCTTTTCGCACTTACTTATTTTTAAACTTTCATTAAATCACTTGGTTTTGAAGAGTTTGCGAACGGAAGAGCTGACTAACGTACGGATGAGCGACAAACGTTATATACTATTCATCCAATAGTTATACTAAACAGAGGGTAGAAGATGAGAGACATACTTCGTTAAAAAGAGACCAAAAAGCTAGAGACCAAAGCACAATACACAACCTAAACATGTGTGTATATGAAGTCATGCAAGACGAACTGGGAACACTAAACTGAAGTTTACGGAAACTCAAATCCTCTTTTAACCAATATCAGGACTAGTCATTGCAGCACCATTCATACTGCTTAGTTTTCAAGCAAGTCAAGTTTAATAGTAGCATGGTAAATTGAAGTATCACAAAGTATATAGTTTCACATTAAGTTAGGTGGTTTGATTAAGATTATAACACAATGTTGACTGCTGTACCCCTAATTTTGACATTTTTACCTATTATGTCTTTTTGTTTTCGGTTCACACATTGTTGTCAATATAATGGAATTTTATGCGACTGTCATGCAAGTGTCTGAGAGGTTTAGCTAGCTATAAAACCAGGTTTAATCCACAATTTTCTACAAAAGGAAATGCCTGTACCAATTCAGGAATATGACAGTTATTTTCCATTCGTTTGATGTGTTTGAGCTTTTGATTTTGCCATTTGATAAGGGACTTCCCGCTTTGAATTTTCCTTGAAGTTCGGCATTTTTTTATTTTACTTTTTATTCACAGTTGATATATAAACTTCATTAATAAATATATGAATAAAACCAAATTTCGGGTATACGTCAATGAGACAGGAACCTAACGACATTGACAACCAAAAGACTTCTAAACGTCAACATAGTTATGTTAAGTCTTCAACAATATAATATTGTTTATGAATGAATTTTTATAAGTTTTATTCAACTGTTTCGACATCATCTCCCTATTCATCATTCCTAGCGGGTTGATTTCGCCTCAAAGAAAGGACACGTTTTCAAAAAAAATTAGTCTCCAAATACTGAAATTGAAGGGACTTTTTTCAGATGTTGACAAAGTTTGTCATTCTGTGTCTCAGGAGAATCGAAACCAAGCGCTGCCCGACATCATTTCCGAAATATTATTCTCTTTTTAAACCTTTTCAAAATTTTGTTTAAAAATATACCGGGTTTAGCTTTCTTCAATATATATCATATGTGCTTAAATTTGAAGGGAAATCTTTGAACAGGAAGGCGAATGTTTCATTGTTTTAAAATTCTACGCTGTTAAGAATAATCATTAAAATCTCTGTAATCATACTTTGGCATGAAAGGTCCATGACACACAGCGATGAGTCATCGCCAGGTATTATACTCGAGTTTATTTAGATCAGGAAAATCGATCGAAATTAATTTCTTTTTTTCTGCACCCAGCTGCTGTGTCATAATTAAAATTACAAAACGTGTACACAGTAGAATTCCGTTAATTAATTATTAATGACAAATCATGTACACAATAGAATTCCGTTACGCACATATATACGGGGATATATTATTCCTTTTAAGCAATCTGTTTTGATTGATAATGAATTTCAGCATATTGATGGAAAAACGTAAAATTTGTCGTTGACTGAGTTTTGACAATATATTTGTGTGTAATTTTCAAAACTAAGATGAGACAGTTTTGCTTATCTTTGATTTATTATTTAAAAAAAAATGTTTGTTCCGAATTCATGTTTTCTAATTTTTTTTCCTTAAGATATAAAAAAGTCAATGTTTTTTAGAAATTAGTAAAAAAAAATGTTTTATTTAATTATTTGCTAGTTTGTCAATTAACCTTACACCCGTAAATTTCACTCATTCGATTATTCGTTTATTCATGGGGTCCATTTATTGATTAGTTCTTAAGTCTTTCCATAGACATATATATAGTATTGCATATGTCTCTGGTCTTATATCAAGATTATAGTTTATTTGATATGTACATGTGGTAACCGTAAAATCATAAAAAGAGGAAGAAATTCGAACGGATATTTTACTATTGGACTTTTATAGTACAAACGTTTATAATGCAATATTCCGGAAATCAACAATTAAACAAACGGATATTGAGGTTTTTATATCATTATATATTGATGAAAATAAAACATCTTTTATATACTTACAAGGAAAAGGGAAATAAAATTGACTTTTTCAAATAAAATATTTTATAAACACGTACAAGAAAAAGGAAATGAAAATTGCGTTTTTCGGATATGGGAGTTGGCTGAAATAATACTTTTACATAATTCTCTGAAGTACTATTTCTGTTCTTACGACTAAAAAGTACATATACGTACTACTTCAAAAGTTTTCATTTTTTCTATATATGAAAAGAAATCTGTGTCCACACTTCTTGATTATCGCATTAAATTATGGCAATTCAATATTTTATTTAAAATCTCATGTCTCAAATATATATAACATTACATTAAGTGTATAAAATATGTATACACAGAGAGCCATTCTATACAGAATTATAAGAGACTCTTACATTAAAACATTACTGCAAGTTCGTCTATAAAACATATGTATGTACATTATTTAGAGTATAACACATTTCTACGTCAATATAAAATAAGAAAACAGGTGTTGGCACAGCTACGAACCATATTGATATCTGCGAATAAAAACACTGATTTTAGTTTATCATTAAGATGAAATCAGTATTAAAATGCTCTGCTTCATCATTTATTTTTGCCTAAAATAGTCATATAATGGACATGTTACAATTACATGGATTTCACCTTTTAAAATATTTTTACAATTATCGCAAACTCTGCATGTGAATTATATAATTAGTGTAATATTCATGTTATTTTCATACTTTATATGTATGATTTAATAAATATTTAATGTACTTTATATTTTTTTAACACAAAAATCGCTATTTTGACACAAAGACTTGCTTTATTATTTATCTAAGTGGTCCCTTAGGAAACTGATTTCGAACTAAAGTATGACATTGTTTCTTCATCTTGGATATTAAACGACAGCTGGATTTGTCAAGATCAACTGAACTATTGTCAGATCAACCATTTACATAAACATCCTGAAACATTGCCAAATTATTAGTTTTTAAGTTTTCATGGTCGCCCCTTTTAAACCCCAGAAACTTCTAAATAGTAATAACAAAACAAATATACATCACACTGAAAAAAATCTACATATAATCATCCACTCATTATCATGCCGTGATGATGCATCCCCAATACAAAATACCTTGACAACTGAAGCTTGCATCATTTACACGTCAGATGGTTTGTTGATATAGCAGAAGAAATTGATCTTGCACGTGTTTCTAATGACACGTGCGTTGGTTTTTCCATCATTAAATGATAAAATTGCACATAAGATCAAACATGTATTTATCTTGTCTATTTTTTAGTCTAAATTTATTACGATGAGAGAAAACAGATAGTTTTACATTCTAAATTTATATCAATTTATTGCAGTTGCCAATTATGAATATTTTAACAACAAATTGCTTTTATCTTGCCAGGGTAAGAAGCAAGCTACCTTTCAAGTTTATAAAACATCTCAATTATCAATAGAAAATATCCCATACCACTGAAGAAATTCTATTTATTAATCTTTCAGAAAACGTAGCACTAGAGAAATATAATACAATAATAACTCAATGTTTTGTCAGTGACATTGTTTATAAATATGTTACTTTGTTTAAATGTGTATAAAATTGAGAATGGAAATGGGGAATATGTCAAAGAGACAACAACCTGGCCAAAGAGCAGATACATGTTTTTGTTTAATTGTACTCTTATAATTCTAATCATTTACTTTGCTTTATTTTGTAATTCATTTTGATGATCTTTGATTGTATAGCTCAAATTTGGGCACCATGATTGGTTAATAAAACATCTTGTAATACATTATTTTATGCCTCTGGTACCACGAAGGCTTAAAATGTACTTAGCTTGATTATCAAATGCTTTAGATAAAAAATGGTAGAGTCTTCCAGAGTCGTTCCCCCAGAGTCGTCTCAGAAATAGCAGAATATATGTTTTGCAGTGGTACGGAACACCCCAAAAATCATCATCATAAAAAAATAATATAGCAGGGCACGACTTCATGTCCTGCATAGAAGAATCTGTGCAAGTTTGAATGAATTTTGTCAAGCCGTTTTCTTGGAGTTGTGGATTATCAAAGTTTGACGTAGACGACGACGGCGGGGCGATTGAGACGACAGAAGTATTCCTAGCTAGCTGGACCCTGTTGAGCTACTCAGAATCACATACACGATGTGACAAAGGCATTCTCCGACAATGAGGAACATTATGCAAATAGTATACAAAGATGATGCACTTCTCGGAAAATTTGTAGAGAGAACCTATTCAATCTTTTTGGGGAAATCTTTCTTTCTGAGTGTATCTGTAACTCTTTTTTTTTTTGACAAAAAACTGTAACAACTAAAAATTATTGACGGAACAGGTTTACTGACTTTCAAGTGGCCGGGTCTTTTGCTTGTTTTTCTTCTTCTGAAAAATTATGTACATAAGAGCAAAGACCTACACTTGCTTCTGTAGACATTTGCTCTAAGGTATATAAGCAATTAAGTAAGTGTTTTTAGTTTATTCCCTGTAGTGAGTTGGATTCGTGTTTGCTGTCTTTGTAAATATTTCCTCTTGTGACCCAGTGAGTATTCTTTCAGACAATGATATATTTACCTTTTTATCTCATAGAGTTCGATTGGTTATTCGCATTTATTTTTTTTCCAGGTCTGGAATCAGTTGGAAAGACAACATTATTATATAGGCTAAAGTTGGGAGAACCAATAAAGGCTACGCCAACAATTGGTGAGTGTCATATCTACTCCGCTTCCGGTTCGTTGATGAAAAAATATGCTATAAAGATTTTTACGATTTCCATGCTTATTTAATACTGATGGATACTTTTATATAACATGACTGCAGGTAATTAAACAGACAACTAAGATGCCAAAATATAATAGTGCATTGATGCAAACTAAAGCAAAAATAGAAAACAACAATTGGAATAAATTAAGTAGTGGCAATTACCACGTAAACAACAATTGGAAACTTAAGTAGTTGCTATTACCACGTAATATTAGTTTTGTGTTATCATACTATTCATCCCACCCATGATTGCTTAGAAAATACTATATGCGTGAGGGTCTGGGTGGGGTTTAAAGAACAGAGAATATCAGACAAATACTGCAGAAAATTGGGCCATAAAGAATAGAGAATAACAGGCAAAATGTATAGAGAATAGAGAATACACAAATGAAAGAATCTCACCCAGACCTTCATGCATGTTCATACTAATTATGCTTTTATGAATTCTGAATCTTTTACATAACACTATGTTACATATGTATGTCTTTATTTCAGGTTTCAACGTAGAATCTTTTCAATATAAAGACTTGTCTCTCAATGCATGGGACCTTGGATTTGGCGGTAAAATGGTAAGTGATTTGTTTGGGTGTTGATTAACCTCTGCTGATACATTATTACATAAACAAATGTTGTGGAGAAAAGCATTAATATGAGTTATGGGTTTTGATCATTGTTGAAGGCCGTATGATGACCAATAGTTGCTAACTTCCATGTTATTTGGTTTCTGGTGTAGATTTGTCTCATTGGCAATCATAACACATATTCTTTTTTTTTATATAAACAACATTTTCATGATATTATTTAAAAACTGCGACAGGCACTAAATTCATTAATAGCTCTGATTCCTTATCCTGGTTTGGCTTTACTTTTGTACTTTTTAGTTGTATCAGCTGTTCCATGTATGTTTTAGGTTTTGGATTCTCAAATATTTTGGCATCGAGCATCTCTGATCAGACATTACTTGTCGAAATGCGCATCGGGTGCAGTAAAATGGTTACATATTATTGCAAGTATCTTTCGTGATAACTATTTGATTTTGGAAATATCTTTTAGCATTTGTGTCTATATTTAATTCTATTTTGTAGCGTCCGTTGTGTCAACATTACTACAAGGGTAGCAATGCGGTCGTTATCATGATAGATCGCGGAGATAGAGAACGACTGGAAGAAGTCACATATGACGTCATTAAACCAGCATTAAAATCAGAAGAACTCAAAGATGCAGTGTTCTTATTCCTTGCAAATAAATCAGACATTAAAGATGGAATGAGTCTTCAAGAAATATCTGATTCGTTGGCTTTGAATAATTTAAAACGAAAATGGAGTAAGTATATATGATTAAATGGGAAAGCTGGATATATACATAAATAAAACTATTGAAGAGGTCCAGCCATTCTCGAGGGTACATGGGAAAAACACCTCAATATGTTTCGTGGTTAAATAATTGGTTTTTTAGTCCCCTATCGACGAACCTAAAGGGGACCCAAGGTCTGTCTGTCTGTCTGTCTGTCTGTCTGTCTGTCTGTCTGTCTGTCTGCTGTCTGTCTGTCTGTCTGTCTGTCTGTCTGTCTGTCTGTCTGTCTGTCTGTCTGTCTGTCTGTCTGTCTGTCTGTCTGTCTGTCTGTCTGTCTGTCTGTCCGGCAAATCAGTTTTCCACACTTTTTTTCTTCATATTTGGTGTACTGTTTTATCATGACAAGTTATAGATCAAGTTCGAATTTTGTTCCGGTCTGATGATTTTGTGCAGAGTTATGGTCCTTTGACTTAGAAAAATCCCTAAAATAATCAGCTATCCGCACTTTTTTTTGTCATACTTGAAGATATTGATTTGATAATTGGTGTATAGTTTTATCATGACAAGTTACAGTTCTAGTTTGAATGTCGTTCCGGTCTGATGATTTTGTGCAGAGTGATGGTCCTTGGACTTAGAATATTCACTCAATAAGTTTTCAGCACTTTTTTTCGCCATGCTTGAAGATATTGATTTGAAAATTGGTATATAGTTTTATCATGACAAGTTACAGATGAAGATCGAATTTTGTTCCGGTCCGATGATTTTGTGCAGAGTTATGGTCCTTGGACTTAGAAAATATCCGCACTCAAATATTCAGTTTTCCGCACTTTTTTTCGTCAAGACATGCTTGAAGATATTGATTTGAAAATTGGTATATAGTTTTATCATGACAAGTTACAGATCAAGTTCGAATTTTGTTCCGGTCTGATGATTTTGTGCAGAGTTATGGTCCTTGGACTTAAAAAATACACTTAAATAATCAGTTTTCAACACTTTTTTTCGTCATGCTTGAAGATATTGACTTGATATTTGTTATATAGTTTACACCATGACAAGTAATAGATCAAGTTAGAATTTTGTTCCAATGCAATGAATTTTTAACTAGTAGGGGACTATGTATTGCCATGCAATACTCACAGAATGCTTGTTTCTGTAGTATCGATCAGTTGAATTACAAAATGTGCTCATATAAAAATGAACGCTAAAACCAGGTCAGTAAAAAGAACTTTACCAAAAAATAAAACTCACAGATACACTAGAACAATGTTCAATAATTTATAGAATATGCTCATAGCGGCTGAAAGCAAACTGAAAGTACGGACTGCCGATAAAGAATAACGTTTTTTTTTTAATTATGTTTAGAGATACACGATAACAAATGGAAATAAAAAGGGTCAAACACGACTTCTTATCATGATGACAATTATGTAGTTTAATTGAATTGGAGGGTCCGTCATAAGATCAATGTATAGAACACATTTATAAGTTAAAACATGTAACGGGATGATTTGAAGGTACATAGAGACAATGGACAAAGTAGCCATGTGTTTAGTTAAAGGGGAAAGGGTTCGGAGGTGGAAGGATGCGTGGGAGGCTACATAAAAAGATGGTACAGGAGAGTTTAGTCGTGAAAATAGGAGAGCGTATATGGAAAATGATTGGAAAAAAGAATGGACGTACGAGAGAAAGAAACCAAATAAAATATATTTATACCAAGATATTTTCGACGATGAACTGATCTTTCTACTCCAAGCTTTTGAAGTAAACAAAAATAATAGCTTTATTAGTGCAATAAACTGAAGTTTATTTTTTCAGATATATTTACTATTAGTGCCTTGACCGGAGATGGCATCACGGAGGCATTTGACTGGCTAGCCCTACAACTAGGATCAAATCAAGTAAAACAAACTGCTGAAACTAATATGAAACAAACTGAAATAACGAATTTTTTACCGCCACAAAATCCGGAGACATGTGAACGGACGACGTATAGTGCTCTGGCTTGTTTTTTCATTAGGCCAACTCAGGCAGTTGGTATTAAAGACGATGATGATCGTGATGGCGACGAGGAAAAGGACAATGTATGACGTCACGATGAAAATCGAGCATGACAGATTTCATATCAATTCAACTTTCAGAAATGTCTCGTTACCATTGTTAATAAGAATTTTATATTTGCATATTTAAGCTAAAATCAGTTGGAAAATAATAGCAAAAATCAACCTTTTTCTAGAGGAAGGTGTGCAAATTTATTAACCATCTTTCATACTTTAAATGTATCTAGCGATGAACGTTCAATCCAGCAATCATTCAAGAAGAACATGACCAGTAAACCAGTTTACTATGATTTACAAAGTGAATTATCTTCAAAAACAATGGAATACCGTTATGACAATGCTGGACCATGGATTAATCGATAAAAGCATAGTGCCGTCTTTATCAACCCTATTCAACTCAAATGTATCTTCACAACTGTTCTCGAATTGAGAGAGTAAGCTAAGCCATTGCATTGCATAGTGAATCATTTCTGCCATACAACCATAAAATGTCTCTGGAGATACAAGACTGCCTGAGGGGTGGTTGCGTACTAAACAAGTATAAATTGACGCGCCGGTCATCTATATGTGGATGATAATCTTAGCTGTGATTTTATTCGTCATTTATCATAAACTTCATTTTGTCATCTAGAAAATCATCATAGAGTTTTATATATTTAAAAATCACAAGTCTCAAAAACATTTTTTATAGTGTATGTATATAGTTCGCTTGTACTGAAAATTTATTTTATGTGAGATGTACGGATTAGAAGTTCCAATTACCGGTTGTAAATAATTATAAATTTCATTTTGTGCTCATTACTATCTTGTTTTACCTCCAATTACTTGAAAGAGAAAAAGAATCACATAGTTAAATCAAAGCAGATAATTTTTAGTCGCATAAAAATAAGGAGATGGGGTGTATGATTTACAATGAAACAGCTATCCACCACAAATGTAAACTACAAGCCAACTTCATTTTGCAATACGGCCTTCTAGAATGAGCATATAGTAAGCTATAAATGGCATTGACATTACAAAATGTGAAGAAACACCATTGGACCTAATTTGTGGACTTTGACTAAAAAAAACATAATTTTATATCAAGAAAATCTAAAAAAACTGACACATTTTAAAATTAGCTTGGCACCCTAGCTGTAAAAACTCGAAATACTGAAATTCTGCACGAAGAACACGCATGTGCATGTGTTTAGACCATAAATACTGTCATCGGTAAACTTGGATTCAAGAAACATGTTATTTAGAAAAATCCTTGCTATATTTTCTGCCATCAACAAGCGTCTGGATGGCGGTAAACAGAATACAGAATAATGGGCACAAAATATAAAGTATAGAGAAAAATTAGGCCAAAAAAATAAAGAATAGAGAAAAATTAGGCCAAAAAAATAAAGAATAGAGAAAAATTAGGCCAAAAAAATAAAGAATAGAGAATAATGGGGCACTGAAATATAAAGAATACTGAGAGAAAAAATGACTGAAATGTTCAACAATAAAGAAATGAAGGACCCCCATCTAGACCCTCATCAACGTTTAAATATGTTGAAAATAAAATTGGACAAATTTGAGCGCTTCACATGCAGCCTAAGAAATCCTTGAATATGGGCTACCAAATTTCGAAAGGTACATAATGTTGAAAGGAAACAAAATTTTAACACTAATATTTGGCGGCCATGCAAAGAAAATGTGTGATGTCGAATTATTAGGATTTCGTACAGGTTAATCTGGATAACAATGAAGTCCTATGCTCCACTGGTTAGTAGATAATGTTTATAATAAATATTTTTGTTAAGATGGACCAAAACTATGGTTAAAAATGAAAAAAAATCATTGCTGAATGCATTTAATTTTTTACTACAGGGTTGAAAAGTAATGGGGGTAAGTGTAGGAATTTAGTGTGAATCTACAGTTTTTGTAAACAAGGCCATGTGAATGGCCTAAAAGAAAAAGCCGCATGACCCTATGTTTTTATTGTTGCAGAAGTGGGACTACATTTTTTTAAACATATTTTGATGAATGATATAGGAAAGCTTCTGCTTTCTTAGGGTAAACCAGCCCTTGCGTTCATAAAAATTTGGAGTAAGATTAGCGTACTCAGACTAAAAAATCGACCAATCAAAAGACTGGATTTGGTGTATCGAGCACAAATATTGTACTCCAAGTACTGAGTAAAGTTTTATGGCCGAGAGCCCAGGTATACATTTAATTCCAGTAACAGGTTTGCATTGGAGTCAACGGGATATTTTTTTTTACTGAATTTACCCCTACAGGGTATGTTTTATTTCAACTACGGACAAACTATTTTAACTGGGGACGAGGGGTCAAGAACGTTCTCAACCCTTGCGACGATATGTAAAAAAATGACTAAGGTATCCTCATTCAGGCATCATGTGGAATGTTATCTAACTGTTATAAATGTGCGGTTATTTTTTCAAGTAAACAATTAAAGATTATTTTATCCATGTCTCTATTGTTTTTCTTCTTCGTTGATTTGCATTTATACTCAAAGATTCCTTTCCATCTAATTTTTATTTTATCAGATTAATACATTCAGGTCTGGAAGAGGAAGTTCTTGATTTAATTGATCATTACATAAATCTTTCAAACTTTATAGAAGGGCGTCTCTAGGAAAGATTCTCGCTTTGTGATGATTCAACACATTAAGCCTATAGAAAAACCACATTTTCAACATCTCTTCTGGAAAAAAAGAGTTGGGAAATACCAAAGTGGAATCAAAACTCATATCTAGAGACTGACAAATCGTGTCAAAATAATCGGGAAAACTGACAAATCGTGTCAAAATAACCGGAAAAACAACAGTCTACAAAACACTACATAAATAGCGAAAGGCTGAGCAACACGAACCCCACAAAGAGAGATATCATATGCTGCAGATGGATACGCAGATCCTGCTCCACATCTGGCACCCGTCGAATTTTCGAGTCATGCATTCTGAAAAAAAAATGACTGGTAGGATGTATCCATGATATTTATGTCAAGTCTTTCAAAACGTGCTGCTTTTGGTTTTATTACTTTGAAACTTAACTTCAAAATGGTCTATGCCTGAAGCGTTGACCGGGACATAGTATGGTAACCTAGACTTTTCCGATCCAGTAAAACCTTCCGTAAAAGCGGTCCTTTCTTTTGTTCTGTTGTATAAATGTGCAGTCACGTCCAGTCGGAATAGGGGAGTTATATCTAGGTAGAGTAGGGAGAGTCACGATCTCTGCTCGTTGAAGAATCCTTTCCAACAACTGTGATAGAGGTCCGTAAGTGGCCTTTTGTATGACAAAATTCCTGTCTCTATGCAAAATAACGTCTTTTTCCGGTTTCAGTCAATTTCATGCCGGCCGACCCACTTTGCAGAACATACTTGTTTAATCGATTGCTTATATGTAATATTCCTGAATATGCATGAAATATTTGCCATTGATCATTAAGCAATCTAACTAAAAATTCAGATCCTGTGTCCACGCTTTGCTTGCAAGCGAAGCATGGACACAAGATCTGTATTTTGATAAGATTAGTCGTTAAGCAAACAACAATTAATGACGAGTTACACGCTTTGGATTGAGGGGGGGGGGGGGGGGGGGTAACAAAAGGGGAATGTGTCTGGGGGGGGGGGGGGGGGAGTTGAAAGTGTGAAAAAATACAAATAAGCGGATTTCGGAAATAAGCACGCACGTGTCACCCCCCTTAACAACCAGTCAATCAAAATGTTCTCGGTTTCTAAGGATTCACATGTAATAAGGTCTCACGATCAACTTTTCTGAACTCATATAAGATGCATTGAGTATTCAATGGACACAAACAAATGAATTAAATACGTGGCTAGTGAAGCAAACTTTTCATTGCATTTTGTTCCAAAAATTGTACACTAGTATATCATAATAATTTACTGCAAGTTAAGGGAATAACTTCATAATGCACAGAAATCATTTAAAAAATCACCATTACACTGTTTTGTTTAGAATACTTGTAATGTTGTGAAGGAAATGATTTTTTATCGACCATTAATGAAATGTTTCTGAAAAGCTTGACTGAAGCGTGAAAAAAATATGTTAAACATATGGATGTAAGAGTTGGCAGCACACAAGAAAGTAGCAGGAGACAAAGACAAACAAAAAACTGCTACCTTTGTTACTAAATAGATGTTTTAACACAAACATACCGCACTATTTGACTTGTCACTCACAATATGTTCTTTACACATTGTCTTTTGTGTTACAGGATGTGCACGTCAAATACATTTCATGAGATTCAATATACGCGCATTATATAAGGGTCTGGATGGGGATCCTTTAATTTTATATTCTTTGATGTTCTAATCCATTATTCTCTATTCTTTATATAAGAACACCATTATTCTCTATTATTTACTCTTTTGACCTGTTTTTCTCTATTTTTTGTTATTGTTTGTGCTAATTTTTAGTAGTATTGGCCCATTTTGTAAACCTCATTCATACCCTCATAAATAGATACACGACAGTAACCATGCTCACTTTCTTCTACATGTTCAAATTCAGTTGTATATCTTTTAAAAACGGGTGCGGAATTTTCTCGCTGTATTGAAGAACCATTGGTGGCTTTGGGCTGTTTTCTGCTCTTTGGTCGGGTTGTTATCTCTTTGACACATTCCCCGTTTCCATTCTAAATTTTATTTCACGTTAACTATGAAAAAAAACACATATTCTAGAAGGATCTCCCCAGTTTTTTAAAGGCGTTCGTGTTGGTTGTGCTAGTTTTCAGAGTTTTTGTTCTTTAATTTTGCAATGTCTGTGTTGTCTCTCAGCCGGTATTCTTCATACCAAATCATTCGGTCAAGCATTAGGGTTAAATAGTTTGCATATACCGATTGAATATGTATTATGTAATTATGCCTTATCGTTGTATAGAAATTAGAAATATTTGGACTAAAAGAGTTTAATTGGCATATGATTGGAAATATATCTTTATGTTTGAAAGCTCATGATCATGGGTATTTTTTGGGGAAAAGTATTGCAAAGCGAAATTTTGTGTCTTGAACGAACTCAAACCGAAATATCTTTTAAAAAATCAGTCATATTTAGGTATACCTCTTTTGAACTTTGCGATGTGCATAATTATCAATTTTGATTTTTGTTGAAATTTAAAAGAAAATTCAACTTAAGATCTACACTGTATTACTAGGAGGAGCTTTTTCTAGAAATCTTGTAATTGGACAAGTAATAACTTCTCTATACAGCTTGCAACTAGAAAATTAGTAGCTTATCTCACACTGAGGTGCCTGGGGAATGGACCCCACCCTCCTTTTCCATATCTTTTTTTGTTTTAATTTATTTTGTAAGTATTAATTAATATTTGAACTTATTTACATTTAATGATTGATTCGTTATTGCTCTAATCCATGGAACATTACGATATCAGTAGTTTATCGACGTGTGTGTGTGATGCCCCTGTAGAATAGGGGGCGTATTATATATAAACTGCTGTTATCGTAATTTCGTAAGGATAATAGTAAGAACAGATTAAATAAGTGAAAATAAGTTAAAATATTAAATAATATTTACTTTAAAAATATTAAAACAAAAAATGTATATAGAAAATAGAGTACGGGCATCCATTCCCCAGGCGCTAGTGATTTTATATCCCCAATAGTAATATTAATTTTTTTCACAAATACTTACTTTAGTATAGATGTTAACAATCAACCTAAAGTTGGGCAAAAGCGACTTGGTAACAATTAGGCGATTTTGTCACATAAGTTAACAGGGGACGAACTTAGAATGTGGCGAGTTACACACATTCGTAGTTGTTAGCAACGGGTAACGTATCCTAAGTTCTCTCCCTTGATTTACAACAACACTGTGTCAACGTAATCGATGGTCGAAAGCTTTCGTAGCAACAGCGTATCAATAAAGATGGACGACTAAATGAAATGTGATCGCGTACAAATGTGAAAATGACATTGAATCCACTTGCAAACCCGAAAGGGACAAATTTAAATTGTGAACTATGTCAGAAACCAGCATTTATTCAGTGTACAAAGTGTCGAGTAACGTATTATTGGTAAGGAAAGACAAGTAAATGGAAACATGTTTTCTAATATTTACAGGCTTATTAATTATTATTATTGGCATGTACTAGCTTCAGTATTGAAGCCACATGTGAGCGAAACTCAAACATGTTGGGAACAAACCCTAAAATTAAGGAATAACAGTACTGAAGAAGAGTTGTTACTGTCAATTGACGATTTAACCACAATCACACCCTCTTTTCCCCCGGATTGTGATCTAACCAAATTAGACTTATCACTTGGTTTTTACCTACATGACGAACTTGATGGATGCCACATATTGAGCAGGATCAACCTACCCTTCCAGAGAACTTGAGATCACCCCTGTTTTCTGGCAGGGTTCGTGTTGCTCAGTCTTTGGTTTTCTATGTTGTGTATTGTATACTGTTGTTTGTCTTTTGATTGTGTTTTAGGATTTTGCAATGGCATTGTCAGTTTGTCTTTTCGACTTATGATTATGAATGTTCTTTTGGTATCCTTTGCCTCTCTACGGCAGTTGTAAATCCAGTTTACTTGCAATATATTGTGCAGCGGATGAGGGAAACAGATTTTTTTAATGTCGAATACCCAAATGACAGCAGCAATTCTTCAACTACGGTACTGTTATTTCGATTTTATTGCATTATAAAAAGAAAGTGTACTTTGGAGCTTGTAAATTTGTATAAATTTAAGATAAAAAATAAACTTCTGCAAAACTTCATGAATGGTTTTGGCTCGTAGATATAAATCTGGGTTCCGTTCACCCAAAATCACATTGGCTCTCATTCATGTTTGCACTGGGATCCTTTTTAAAGGTTTTTGTTGAATAATTTTTAATCATGTTCAGGTAGTTTATTGCTATAAAATAAAGATAATATTTTTTTTAAATTGTTTTTGAATAAAGTGACATAAAACGTAAACAGGTTGTATTATTTAATTTTTTTAATAAAAATCAACTATCAACAATCCATAAATTAGCAAAACAAGCTGGCTTATTGTGTTTTTTATTGGAAACAACCATGTCTGGTTAATCGGCCCTTACATGGATATTTTTTTCCCAGGTGAAAATCAAACATCAGTGAAATATATGCAAAACTGGAACCAACCCTTGAATACTCCTTCTTGTAAAGATGGAATCATGTCTTGGAAGATATGAAAAATAATATACTTTCAGTAATCAGTAATAAACCTAACAATTTAAATTATTTTTCAGTGGAGTGGAACATCAGAAAGCTGATTGGGTTGGAATACATGAAAAAATATGTCAAAGTTTGATAGCTTTACGACAAGGTGCCCCCTTTTTACCCTCACAGGAAGAACGACAGAAAAGAGAGAGACACATTTTAATGAAAAAGGTGAGGCTTAATAATTTTATATCCAATTAAGATTTAAATCAACTATCTATATAACCACCTCATTGGTCTCATGCATGTAAGTGTGTTCCCCTTGAGTGTGAGGGGTCATTAAATATCAATGCTTTATATTGTCAGTTACACTGACAATTTTTTTGTACGAAATATTTCAGATATATTATGAAAACAAGAATCTTTTTTGGCCATATATAGAAACTGTTATAAAATTTCTTTTTTACCATCACACAATTCATTTGCATGTTTATTTTGAAATTCAAAGTAAAAAAAAACATTTAAATTTTTACAGACAACAATGATAGACCTTACACGCACAACAGGACAGAAGTTACTTTTTGAAGGTCGTCATGAACAGGCCGTACCAGCAGCAATGCAGTCACTAAGATTTGCTATTGATGTCCATGGTCTAGATAGCATAGAGCTTGTACCGTCTTATCTTATCCTTGGAGAGGCAAGCATAGGTTAGTTTGAAGTGTTTGCATTTAAATAGCTTGTTGCCTACATTAAAATCAAATGAAACTGTGTTCATTTACAGGAAACAACTTGAAACAGCTATAGTTTGATTTAGAAAGGATAAGCATCATTGAGGGGGAGTGTAGAAGGGGGTATCATCCTGAATTCCTATAAAAATAAATGCTGAATCCTTAATTCCTGAAAAAATAAAGCATTCTTTCCTGGATCCCTAAATATTATTCATTAATTCTCAAGTCCCAATAAGTGTAAATCCTGAATTTCAGCAAAAAAAAGGCCCAATCCTGAGGTTCAGAAAAAGGTCCTTCCATCCCCCAGTTTGTTCGCTATCGCATAGGCATATCGTCTTAAATGGAGATAATTAACAGATTACATATTTTTGCAGGATTAGGGCGTTTATCACAAGCAGAAGAATATTTGGCCCAAGCTCAGTGGACTGTTTTAAAGACCCCATCGTGTTCAAATGCTATCAAATCTAAACTATACAGAAATCTAGGACTGTTGTATGCAGCCAAAGGAGAGTATGACGATTCTTTACGACAGTTAGCAGACGACGTAAGTCAAATCTATATTTTATCATATTTTGTTTATTAATCAATTTTGTTTGATGTGAAAAATATGTATTTTTATTGTAATACTAGATGGACATCTGTTGAACATTTGTAAGGGAGACAATTAAAATTAAAATAAAATACATTGGTTTGAGATCCTCCCCTTTTCGATAAATTTGCTGATATTTTCTAAAAGGTGTGTTGAAATTCTTTACAAGCACATTTAATTTGAAAGTTGTAAAATGATTATTTTTCAATGTTAAAGGGGATGGAAAGAAAACGCCTCCTTGCATTTTAATCAGAAAGGGGGACACATATTTATGTCATTGGGAAACGAGAGGATATAAAAAAATTAGAATAAGTTTCACTGAACTTTTACACTGCATTTGACACATTTATTGATATTATCAAATATCTTAAGTCAAAATAGATAATTCTTTCAATATTATTATTATAAGTTTATATAACAAAAACAAAGGTATTGAAATACTGTTTGCAGTATACACTGCTAATGTAGAAAATGTTCTTATCATGTAAAGTATGTTATGAATTCAGATTGCTTAATTTAAAATTTGAATTTTTATTCTTATCATGAAAGTTTCAATACAAGGTCTGTCTTAATTGCACTGATAAATTGTATACCAGTCAAATTTTGGCTTTTATATTGGTATGTTCACATGCATTTAATTTCTGAATTTACAGTATCATGCAAAGAAATCATATCTTAATCAGGCCTTCGGGTTTAAATATGCATATTTTTATTGAAAATTGAATATACTTCACCACAAATATTCCTGATAAATATATTTTATAATTACCTTGTCTTTTTTCACAGATTTATCATGCCTCAGAAAATTTTGGTACAGATGACATTCGAACATCTGGAGGTTATTTTCACATGGCCAATGTATTTTTCCGACAAGGAAGGATGGAGATTGCTGATTCTTTATATAGACAGGTTAATTTAAAGAAGACAGAATTTTCTCCCCCTAAAATATATTGCTTTGAATTACAGTGCAAATATTTTTATAAGATGGGTGTAATGTGAACTTAATGCATGTAAAAAAAGGCAAAAGATTTCAAGATATTGAATTTCTCTTTCATATCATCTTGACAAATTTTGTTCACATACCATTAATTTTGTACCTCTGTTATTGTGTAGTCAACAAATGAATCACTTCTGTCGTCTCAAGTCATTATTGTCCCTGTCACTGTTGGCTTCAAGAAAATATTAAGACAGAATTCCAATCTGGCCTCAAAAATACAGATCCTATGTTCACGCTTTGTTTAGAGGGATCTAACAAGGATTCATTCTACTTTCGATTTTAAGGAACTATGAGATCCATTGGTTTTGTCATAGTGATACACACCTTTGTAAATGTGTAGGCAGGAATTTCACTGGCTGATGTTATAATTACCAGAACAGAAAGTAGAACTGTGTGTTGTCAGATCCTTGTAAGCCGAGCATGGACACCTGATCAGTATTTAAATCAGATTCACCAATTTCAAACAAACTTGCACAAATTCTTCTACAGTACATAAAATATGAAAAATATGAAACAGTTTGATTAAGAAAACTAACAGCCTAATATATAACAAAACAATTTACGAAAAACAAATATGACAGACATGAACCAACAACAACCACTGAACTACAGGCCCCTCACCTCGGACAGGCACATACAGAATGTTGTGGGGTTAAACATATTTGAAGGCACCAACCCTCCCCTAACCTGGGCCAGTGGTGTATCAGTTCAAGATAAGAACAAACTATAAAAATCATTTGAAATGGGCTTAACTCATCAGATCGATACAAAGCAGAAAAACATCGAACAAAAACACAGGGGCTCAATTTTTCTTATTTTATTTAGACATAACAAGCTTAAGCCCTCACATCTTCTTGAAAAACTCCCACATTTAAAAAGAATTAATTAGAAATGAAATAAATCTTGCTTTAGAAATCTTTTTAAACAAAAATATTAAAAGATATTTAATTGTGGATATACGGGAGATAACCCATGGATATTATTTTTTTCACTTTATACACAAATACTAGAAAGATAAAAGACATGTTTTTGTTTCATTTTAGGTTTCAACTATATGGTATAATCATTTACAAAAAATTGTGAAAATCAGAACTAAAACTCCAGACACTCCACAAGGAATTGGTCCATTGATTATAGAATCCAGTGATGAAAAAGAAGATACTCTAGGTAAATGTCTAGACTTTCAGTATTACTAATGAACATTGATGTCACAAAGGTCCCTATACTATGTGTTATAAATGATTGATTGTCAGTGTCTTAAACTTTTTTTTACAAATCAATCAATATCTCTCATGCTGTATTTCTGCCGCCAGTCTTAAATGGGACTGGGCAAAGGGAGACAATTTTAATACCATAAGACTGTATTGGAAAGAAGCTTGAATTTGATAATTTTAGATAATAATTAAAAAGTGGAAAGCAAAATACTCTTGAAGGTTGAAATCTGCAGATTACACAATTTGTTTAATCTTTGCATCTAAAAATCATTTGTATGAATATTTGTGATGTCACTGAATTCCAGAATATTCTTCCCTAGGGAGATTATGGCTTGTAAAAGTGCATACAAAATATACTTTCACAGAAAAGAGAAGAAATATATGCCTGTTAGTAGTAAAAGCAAATTTGCAAAATGTGAAAAAGCAGTCTACACTCTTTAAGTTTGAGCCACGTTTACTTGAAAATATCAACAAATTCTGGATACCTACATACATGTATATAACATGAATACAAATCCAAGATTTTAGTTTTATTTGGCTTTTCAGTATTACAATGTACCGATATGGTTTTTCATTATCACTTAATTATTTTGTGTGTATTAAATAGATGAGGCACAAGAGGCTGAAGCAATACAAGTTTTAAATGCCATCTACGATATGCAGGAACATCAACAAAGCAGACAGCCACAAGATCTGGCCACCATTTGTCATGCTTTAGCCATGCTTTACTTTATACTGATGGATATTTCTAAGGTATGTTCTCTCCTCACTCAGTAGCAGACAAACAAACACAAATATATCATTTTGCTAAGTTGCAGTTCTTTTTAACATTATAATAGAAGGCAGGCTTTTGCAGATTCTGATGGGGCACACCTTGTGCCTGCCCCCAATAAAAAAACAAAAATTATGTCATGAAGGTAAAATTACTGCCAATTTTGTGTCAAAATGAGATCTCCTTATTCCTAATTTGCCTACTTTCTAATTTTCTGAAGAAAAAAAACTTTATATACTGCATACAATTAAGGTAAATAAGTTATATTTTATATTATGTTAACCTTGTATTTTTAGGCTAAAGAATTTGGAAGAAAAGCTGTAGTTGCCAGCGAAGGACATCCTGACGATTCCCTGTCTCGTACTATTGTTGAATTTATGAAGAATTTAGAATCACAGACACAGAGAGTCATGTGAAATACTGTGATATATTGTATATAACTGTGATATTGACTAATTCTTAAATGATTTCTGTAAATTGAAAATTATTTAAGGAAATTATACTTATGTTATTAAATGATTATGTAAGTTATTTATTATTGCTTTATTGAAATAACAAACAAATTGAGCAAGTGCAACAGTAACTAGAATTGCAATTGCAAGCAATAGTGGATGTCACCCCGGTCTCTCAATTGGCACGAAACTGCAGCCATTTTGAATTCTATAACAGTGAATGCACATATATACATGACAATACATCTTTTTCTGTTAATTTTTAGAAAGTTTGGAGCATTTTGAAATTTGCATTTTTTTGCTGTTTCCATGGCAACGGTGGCCATTTTGAAAATTCTAAAGTCTAACAGCAATTCTACATACGCCAGTCAACATTTCTGTAAAGTTTGGAGCATTTCAAAATTGTTTACATTGTTCCCATGGTAATGGCAGCCATTTTAAAAATTCCTGTCAAACAATTAACTTTACACATGCCAGCTGACATTTCTATAAAAAAGTTTAGTACACTTTCCTCTTTTTCACATTTGTGCTGTTTCCATGGTAACGGCAGGCAATTTTAAAAGTTCCAAAGTGGAATTGCAAATCTTCATATGTTGATTACTATCATGCTAAAGTTTGATCAACATTGGTCCAGAAATGCCTTGGACAAAAAAAGTGGAAGAATAATATAATAAAAGGGTATAAGAAACGGAGGACAAGCAATATGTCACCCGACATTTGTTCAGGGTGACATAATAAGACAGCAGAATTGGACTTATATAATGCTTGAGATTGGTATCTTTACAATTCAAAATTATGGATAGAAGAGTTTCGGGATGGTTGTTGTTTCAATGTGGAGGTTGAAAAAATTGTACCACATAACATTTGTCTATGCATCAGCCTAGTTTTATCACACATGCTAATTATGTAAATGGTGTACGTGATTTAGATAGATTGCAACTTAAAAATTTGGTCCCATTAACATTGTTAGTAAACAACAGTTATTTAAAGAAAATAATAATATATTGAATACTTAATAGAAATTAATACCTAGGTCCACATAAAATCAGGAAAAAGTCATGTGGATTGACATTTATAGTTTTCTGCCAACAATTAGACTGATATCTAGTTGTGGATAAAAACTAGGGATTATTCAAAAGAAATCCCTTGTTTTATTTGACCTTTCTACTATTTTTTTCAAGCCTGCGACTTTTGTCGCAAAAGCGAGACATAGCGATCCTACATACTGTCGTCAGCGGCGTCCACAAATATTCACTCTGTGGTTAAAGTTTTTGAAATTTTAATAACTTTCTTAAACTATCCTGGGTTTGTACCAAAATTGGACAGAAGCTTGTTTATGATCCTAAGATAGTATCCAGAAGTAAATTTTGTAAAAAAAAATTCTTGTTTTTCCATATTTTACTTATAAATGGACTTAGTTTTTCTGCCAGTTAACATTACATTCACTCTGGTTAAAGTTTTTAGAATTTTAATCACTTTCTTAAACTATCCAGGATTTCTACCAAACTTGGACAGAAGCTTGTTTATGATCATAAGATAGTATCCAGAAGTAAATTTTGTAAAAAAAAATCCTAATTATTTCTACTTTACTTATAAATGGACTTTAAAAGTTTTAATAACTTTCTTAAACTATCCTGGATTTGTACCAAACTTGGACAGAAGCTTCTTACAATCAAAAGATAGTATCAAGAGGAATATTTTTATTGATTTACATCCTCATTTTTGTTGAACCTGCGATTAACAGAAAAAGTAGGAGAGACACTGGGTTCCATGGAACCCTTACAAATTTTTATTATTCTTTTTTCCAAAATATAATAAAAAGTATGGGTCACCGGACTATTTTTCACGCTACAGGTTGAGCAAAATTGTCAGATTTTGTATAGATTATGCATGGAAAATCCAATTTTGTGTAATAAAAAGAAAACTACACCATAGAATTTGAAGATAAAATGCAAAGATGCCAACCCCTTTGAGTGCAATCAGTAAAAAGGCATTAAAATTTCCATAATTTGTGTTTTTTTTTCAGTAATATTTACGTAACATTTCATAATCAACTGTGCACACAGTGATATGAATGATTGGTTATTGGTTGCTTAACGTACAGTGGCAACTATTTCATGCATGTTCAGGAAAAGAACACTTTACTAACAAATACAAAAGGAAGGTCCTTTAATTAATAGAGATCGCCCGGGATGAGATTCGGGAATATTTACACTGCCACTGGAAAATGAGGGTGTATGGGATATGGGATATGGGAAAGAAATTTAGCATTGCATCAGGCCACCTACGGATCTCAAAAAGAGTCGTTTCAACGGTTCTTAAGGAACAGAGTGTGTAGCACTCTTTCTTCAAGAGGAATATGAATTAACGTTCCCATTCCGACTGAACGTGGCTGCGTACTTGTACATCCACCACAGCCAAACGGACGCCACACTTTGGTAAGAGTATTACTGCCTATTGGAAGAAAACCTGAAAACATGATCAAAAGCTAGTATTTAGGAGGATTTCCTGTTTTTGCGTATACTGTAAATTCAGAAATTATTGCGATGTTTTTATTATTGCGAAAAATGCGACAGGGTTATAATCGCAATTATTTAAACTCGCATTTTGAAATTTTTTATATGAATTAAACAGGATTTTTCTCAATATCGCAAAAATTAAAATCTCATTTTAGTCTAAAATGATAAAATCGCAATAATAAATGCACGCAATAATTTCTGAATTTACAGTATAACTTATAAATGGACTTAATTTTTCTTCCAGTTAACATTACATACAGTCTATAGTTAAAGTTTTTAAAACATTTATTTGATTCATAAACCATCCTGGATTTTTACCAAACTTGGACAGAAGCTTCTTACAATCTAAAGATAGTATCTATAGGAAAATTTTAAATAGTTTTATCCCCCTTTTTGTTGAGCCTGTGACTAGCAGCAAAAGTAGGCGAGACACTGGGTTCCGCGGAAGCCTTACAAATTTTTGAATTGAACCTCACTAATGAGTCTTATTTAAACAAAACGCTGGTCTGGCGTACAAAATTATAATCCTGGTACAGTGGTATCTTTGATGAGCTTACTTCTGGAGTTTGTTGAGTCTTAGCAGTTTAGAATCTCAACTATAACATTTATGTTTTAATTCACTTTGTTTACAGAAACATAAAATATTTATGTGCTAAAATGTTCCAACTACTTTGAAACAATGTCAACATAATTGAGCACATGCAATTGTGTTCACTTTTCTTACTGAATAAAATGAAACACAAAAATAATGTTTGGGTACTGAATGGCGCAGTGACCAGCTCAAACTTTTATTTTCAAATACAAAATATCTCCTCTGCCTCAAAGTCCAAACTAAAACATAAGTCCCTATTAACACAAAAGAAACTGCATGGCAGAATCCTGCACGTGTTCTGTAACATAACAACATACAAAATAAAAACATGATGTTTAAGATACTTAAACAATGTGAAAACAAAAATACAAATATTTTTGTAAAAGAAAAATTAAACATCTAACTATAAAACGTGTGCTGATTAAGCCACTACACAATCCTCGATAACTTAAAACACATGTAGTTACCTAATATACTGACCGTGAAACCGAATAACAACACTTGTTGCACAACCTATTTAAACACTCCATTATAAAATCATTTTGCAATCTTTCAAACTAATTCTGCATAACGCATATAAATACATTTCTCTTGTAGCAATACGTATGCAGAAAAAGCAATATTCATAGAAAAATCTTTTATTGTTCATTAACTGACCTCTATAAAAATAAAAAATTAAGATGTGGTATGAATGCTAATGAAACAACTATCTAACTGGCTCATTTGTGTCATGTGAGCTGATTCCATCAATAAGCATTCGTCTGTGTCGAATGTCAAAAATTTTAAAAACTTTTTCTTTCTCTGAGACCACTAAGACATTTTTAAACAAGCTGAACTGAATGATGATGGTCCTCTAGTCGGGATCCTGGTCAAACCTCTTTTCGTCAGTAAAGCTAGGTGTAATAGTATTCGTGTGACCACTTTTCAGACAGTGTTCTCCTCAGTCCATTTTAGCGCTGTGCTATTGGACAGTTGCAGCACTAATCAATCGCAACACACTGCTATAAATTTTTTAAATTTCCTGTTTACCTGTACAATTTCGATAACATGATGGCCTGGTTGATTGGTCTGAGATCATTAATTTTACCTAATAATATCAAATATTGGAGGGGCCAGTTCAATGAAAAAACAAAATGGTGTCATTGGCTAAACTTTTCTTTTAAAAAGACCGATTTCTTTCTCGAGTTTTTCACTTAAAAAAATTTGCAAAAATTGCTCAAGAAATCATTTCCAAAATATTAAAGGAAAGTTTGACCCACTCACAGCACTGAACAAGACTGAATTACTGAGCATGTGCTAGTTATATAAACAAGTTATCCTCAATTTATTTTGAAAAGGTGGCAAACATGTTAGCACATGGTTCCCATTGAAATGAGAAATCATGTTTCAATCTTATATAAAACTGCTAGTCTAATGTAAATGTAAACATCACAGCAATAATAGATGAAAGATTGTCTACAAAATAGTACAAACTAAGGGAGCAACCATTTAACTTCAAGGGGGTGGGGTTATGGTATTTTGTCTGAGTCAGAAATTTTTTCTTTTAAACATCAAGGCTATCAATCAAATTATTTTTTTCAAAATTTAACACTATTATGGGGAAAATCTGGATTTAGAATATTTTGTTTTGTCATCTGCTTGACCACAAAATTTTTTTTCATCAAATTGGAGATCAAAATATTTTTTTAAGAAAAAACCATAACCCCCTTTTTAAGTTAAATGGTCATTCCCTTATTTGATTATGATTGGATGAACATGGCAGTCCAAGAGATATTCTTTGTTATGTATTGCTAATATTATTATTGTTGATGTGGTTCATAAGTGTTTCTCGTTTCTCATTTTTTATATAGATTAGACCGTTGGTTTTCTACTAGTAATTTTTGGGGCCCTTTATAGCTTGCTGTTCGGTGTGAGCCAAGGCTCTATGTTGAAGACCGTACTTTGACCTTTAATGGTTTACTTTTATGAATTTTGACTTGGATGGAGTTGTCTCATTGGCACTGATACCACATCTTCTTATATCTATATAGCATATAAGGATAGTCTTCTTGATTATACACCTACTCCCATCTAAAAGTGTATTACAACTCATCTCTTCAGAGGGGGTCTCATTGGGGGGTTCTGATCCCGGATCCCGCTTACACTATGTACGTAAGCAATTCTCATTTTTTTGTAATTTCCCGTGTCCCGCTAGACTTCATTTCCCGTTTTCACGGCACAATAATTTGACTTTCACGTGTCACGCTTACAAAAAATCGGCAATCCCGGGTCACGCTTAGACCCCAATGAGACCCACTTCAGATTTATGATGTCAGTGTACCTACAATGAAAATCCACACCCAGGTGGCAGAGTGGTCTAAATAGTACAACTACTGTATGACTAGCACTGACATTGCAAGTTCAAACCCCACATGTGGCAGGTGTGTTTGACTACAATCTTTAAGGAACAACCATTTAATTTCAAGGGGTGGGGGTTATGGTTTTTTCCTGAAAAAATATTCTGATCCCCAATTTGATGAAAAAAAATATTCTGAATCCAGATTTTCCCCATACCATATAGTGTTAAATTTTGAAAAAAATAATTTGATTGATAGTGTTGAAAAATAAAAAAAAATGTTCATGCTTTGCACGAATTTTTTTTTTGACTCAGACAAAAAACCATAACCCCCCTCCTTAAAGTTAAATGGTTGCTCCCATATTGACTAGGATTGTCAGTTTTCCTGTTGACGGTGGTGGTTCTCTCCAGGTACTCCAGCTTCCTCCACAGATAAAAATACAGGCAATGATATTGATATTGAAGTACATTTTGATCCATTAGTGTACAATGGTGAGTTAGATAATTTGCATTCATGTTTACTTCTTGATGGCCTACTTATCAAGGAATTACATACCATGGATTTCATGAAAATCGCACTTTTCTGAATTTTTGTTATGCCTGTACATATTGAGCTAATTTTTGTTTAAGAATTAGTTTTTTTTAAGCAGTCACTGAACAATGAAAATGAAGTCTAGGACAACAGACATATTCCAGACAGATCCTTCAGACTATAAGTCATCTGTATACAAGTTATGCCACATTCTATATATGTGCCTGTCTCAAGTCCCAAGCCTGTAATTCAGTGGTTGTCGTTTGTTGCTGTTTGTCATATTTTTTTTTTCATTTATTGTTGTGTCATAAATCAGGACATTGATTTTATCATTACAATTTTGTCTTTGCCTTCTATATTTAACTGTACAGTGACCTATAGTGGCTTAAATCAACGTCATTTAGACTCTGCTGGATAGTTGTCTGATTGACAATCATATCACATCATCTCATTTTTTAACTCAGGACCAAGTACAAGACTACGAAAAAATGTATGGTTATGAATAATTTAATGAAATAATAAACACAGATTGCTACAAATCTTGTTCTGGTACAAACAATTCTCACCTTCAAGTTATTTCATTATTAAACATTCACAATACATCACATAAATAAATTCAAATAAAAAAACTTTTGAGTACTTAATTTAGCCATTAAAAGATGTACATCACAAAAACAAATTGAAATAAAACAAACCTGAGTAGTTAATGCTGCCGTTTATGTAGAAATAAAACTATATACTATCAACTATCAAATTATAACAATGTTTCAATATAAATAAAAATATAACTATTGATACTAATCTAGATATATATTTTTAAAATCATTTTTTTATTTTTAGAGGATCCAGTTTACCCTGGTACCTTACTTTACCAAATAAATGAAAATAATCAAAGCTCTCAAGTCAGATCCTGCCTTGTGCTCCAGGATGTGACCATTTAAGCATTGAAAAACAATTGATGCCAAGCAAACGATGCTTTGCTAAAAAGTAACTGTTTAAAACTACCCATGATATGAGATTTATGGTGTTTTTTTTTAATGACATTATCACTTACTTTTTGAACCAGTTGTTATACCATAGATTTATTCCAATTTATGGTGTTTTTTTTTATTGACATCATCACTAACTTTTTGAACCAGTTGTTAAACCATAGATTTATTTCAATTTATCGACTCTTATTTTCAAATTAACAACACTCAGTCATAGTGCTTCATAACTATAAATTTTACTTGAAACCAATCGAGAGATCACTCCATCTTATTTCATAATATGCTTAATGGAGTTTTTGATTATTCTATTAGTAATAATTCATGTGACAGTGAAATCTATCAAGAAGCAGTCAGACGTTTACCTTGTGCTTAATAAATGTGTGGCATGCTTCTTAAATAGACATCTGAGTATGCCGATATTCTGCCAAATATCTAAAATGCTACACTCACGACAGAGCTTAAATAGTTTCCTTGTTTGCCTACAGACAGTGAACCGAAATATTTGAAATTGCAAAAATCAGAACAGTTAAGAAATTAGCCAGATATTTGCCTTGTGCTTTCAAATATGTGACTTTCTCTCTTAAAACATAAACATTGCATATTTTAAAACGATTGGTATTTTTCAAAGAAAGACTTTTACACTAGTAATTTTTGGGGCCCTTTTTAGCTTGCTGTTCCGTGTGAGCCAAGGCTCCGTGTTGAAGACCGTACTTTGACCTATAATGGTTTACTTTTATAAACTTTGACCTATAATGGTTTACTTTTATAAATTTTGACTTGGATGGAGAGTGGTCTCATTGACACTCATACCACATCTTCTTATATCTATTTAAAGCTTAGATTATTTCACTGTGAAAAAACTGAAATGTTTAATAAAAAGAACTGTAACAAAAGAGATACTTGCCTTGTGCTTATATATGACTTTCTTTTTGCATAGACTGTGGTTTTGTAACAACTCAAGGGGTTAATTAAAAAACTACCTATAAAATGTCAGAGGAAAACAAGATATTAAAAACTGAAGCTTCAAATATGAGCCTTTTTTCATTGCTCAATATTTTTGCATACTTTTCCCAAATGTATTTCAGACATGCTTTTGACATGAACTCCAAATCAAATTCCAAAATAGACTTACAATAAGTTGTCTTATGCTTCAAATATGTGACTTAACATTCAAAAGCATGTTCTCTGTAGATTTAAATGCAATTGTTGTACAAAATAAAATTAAAAAGCCATCAGAAATTTGACTTGTGCTTCCAAATTTGTGGTGAGCTTTTCAATTTTTACAACAGAATTAGTATTGTCCTTCTGATAGAAAAATATTAAGCATTTGTCTTGTGCTCCAAATGCATCAACATTTTCTTATCAGAGTGAAACAAACTAAATTATTGTATTATGTAGAAAGCTTCATAAATTTTTCTTTAATGGACATTTGATCGAAAAAATATCGATATATTTGACTAGTGCTCCAAAGATATCAACATTTTCCCCGAACAGAGTGAAACAAACTTAGTTTTATGGTATTATGTCTCTAGTTTAATAAATTATAAATCAGAATTTGAAGGCAAAATTTTACATCTGAAAGAAAAATATCAAGACATTTGACTTGTGCTTCAAACGTGTCAATAATTTTCTTATCAGAGTTAAACAAACTAAGTTATTGTTTTATGTCTATAGGTTAACAAATTTTACATCAGAATTTAAGGCTGAAATTTTACATCTGATAGAAAAATATCAAGAAATTTGACTTGTGCTTCAAACATGTCAATAATTTTCTTATCAGAGTAAAACAAACTAAGTCATTACTTTAAGTCTACATCTTAACAACTTTTACATCAGAATAAAGGCAGAAATTTTACATCTGATAGAAAAATATCAAGAAATTTGACTTGTGCTTCAAACGTGTCAATAATTTTCTTATCAGAGTAAAACAAACTAAGTCATTACTTTAAGTCTACATCTTAACAACTTTTACATCAGAATTAAAGGCAGAATTTTACATCGGATAGAAAATATCAAGAAATTTGTCTTGTGCTTCAAACGTGTCAATAATTTTCTTATCAGAGTAAAACAAACTAAGTCATTACTTTAAGTCTACATCTTAACAACTTTTACATCAGAATTAAAGGCAGAAATTTTACATCTGATAGAAAAATATCAAGAAATTTGACTTGTGCTTCAAACGTGTCAATAATTTTCTTATCAGAGTGAAACAAACTAAGTTATTGTTTTATGTCAATATCTTTACAAATTTTACATCAGAATTATAAAAGGCAGAAACTGTACATTTGATAGAAAAACATCAAGACTTTTGACTTGTGCATCTTAACATCTTTTGCATCAGAATTAAAGGCAGAAATTTTACATCGGATAGAAAAACATCAAGACTTTTGACTTGTGCTTCAAACATGTCAACATTTTTCTCATCATCTTGACACAAACTTCTTTATTGTAATATGTCTACTGCTTAACAAATTTTAAAACAGAAATTTCACATCATCATTAATTATCAAATAAAAAGAGAGCCAATCCTGACATCCCTTGGACTGATATAACTACTAAAAAACTTTAACAATTGTTTAAGCATAATGGTAAATTGTGATATAGAGGGATAATTATTTTCTTATAGAAAGATATCGGACATTTACCTGTGCTTTAAATATGCGATAAACTTTCTAAAAAGAACGGATCACTACTTTGTTAGGCCTTCCATAATTGTATAAGATACTGATACATATAATTTAAGTGTATATAAAAACTAAATGTTTTCACATAGATGAGTTTCTCAATATTGATTGTTTTGTCAATGAATTTATCTCTATAGCTTTTTATCAAGCTAACTTTAATGCAAGGAGAGATGATCAAATCAAACAGTAATCTGTCAAAAATCATCTCAAAGAACAGTGTCTCCATAAAAAATGTAAAGTTACATAAGAGTGTTGAAGATCATGCAGTCTCTTCTAATTATTACATTCAAGTATTCCCTGTTTGTACAAACGCATCAACACAATACAATCTGTCAAAAAGCCTCTGCTTCAGGCCACGTTGGTAAACAAGGCCATTCAAAGGAAGAGCTGATGGCGATGATGAAAGACATTCTTTAGACAATTAGTTCTATCTTTTTGTTTATTTAAACTCGTGCTGTGACAATGAGGCAGCCATATCTTTTCCAGGGAGTTCTTTGTCAAATCCGTCTTTTCCATCAATCCACCATGTTGTCATCACACCTTTGCCCTACAAAATAAATATAATTTATTAAGTCATCTGCAATTGTAGTTTTTATTATTTTTCGAAGGACATATACAATGTGTTCATTTGAATTGCATGAAATATACAAGATAATAAATAATACCTCATTCACTTCTGAAATCGGCAGAAGAAAAAAAATAATAAGATCATGCCGTCTGCAAACAGTTGAAAGCTAAAAATTACTGTGTAGCAACACTTGAAGGCATAATCCAGTTAATATTTTTTGGTGAAAAGTGATTTTTATTGATATATAATAAACAGGAAACATCTGGAAGACTAAAATAAAAACATCTCAGAAGAATCAACTAATAAAAAAGCTTTCATTTTTTAAGTATTGTTTTTTTTTCCAACTGGACTACTTCTAGAGGAATCATTTGACATAAGAATGGTTGATGTATGATGTATTTTAAACAACAACTAAGATTCTGATATTTTATGAGCCTATTGACTTTTGGTAAATTGTGGATTCTTGACCCATTTACCCCAAAATTCAATAGGTTTCCTCTTCCCAGCATGTTTGGTAAAGATATTATTCATGACTCAAAAGATTATTCGTAAATCTAAATATTGACACTGTCAATATGGACATCCAGAAAGCATCTGTCATATTGTAAGCTCAATTGTCACAATTCAAATAATAATCATTGCCTGGAATAAAGAATTAATCATTTCTGTTCGCAGATTTCAACAAATTATGTATTGAGGCAATTATAATTATCAGGATTACGCAACGGGGATAATGGGTAAAATGAGTGATCTATCATTAAAATTTCCGTAAAACACAAAATATAAAATAAACAACCACTTTCCATTTAATATCAAATGGTTAACTACACAAAGGGTAAAAAAAAAATAATACTTTTCATATCTTCTTCCAAATTCAAATAAATAACCTTACCTTTACTTCCCTCTCTCCACGACATTCCAGATGATATCCACCAAGTCTAATAAGAATCTGTGCAGTGGCATCGCTCATGTGAATTCTCAAAGCTATAAAGAGAATGTTGACATAATCAAATGTGAAATTTAAAAAAATATTGTTTCCCAAAAAAATGTATTTACAGAAAACACCTGCTAAAATCTTTACATAAACAAAACACCATGGTTAGATATATTCAACTTCAGTTTGTAAATCAACCTATAGTATATAATTTTTTTTTTTACATAATTTAATTGAATCATAGTGAAGCTTGAACACAGCAAAGGTCAATCTTGTTGTAACCCGAATAATTCAGTCCTTATATTCGGCTGATCAAAGATTACTACAGTAACGCCTGAATGCATAGATATTGAAAAATTGTCAATCATTCAAAATTAGCTCAGGATTTACCCATCTCGATGAAATTGAGCGGATTGCTGATAGGTCACCTCCTCTACAGGGCACCAATCAAAATTCAGGATTGTGAAGAGTTTTTAGCATGTTAGGAATTCAGGCCCTCACAAGTAGGAGAGATCAATTACGCGGAGGGACTGAATTATTCAGGTTAATCTTGTTGGTGAAAATTTTGTATATATCCAAAATTTTGACCCAGAATATCATAATTCATTATACTGTAATGTAAATAAATTATCACAGAAATTCTATAAGGAGGGTTCTTGAAAAGCTTTGAAATCTAAATTTTCTTTTTATCGCATGGAACTTGGGCCCTTTACTCCATTTTACAACATAAAACTTAAGAAACACATTAAGGTGGATGGGTGTCTTAATTAAAATCCATAGAATTTTTTAATAATTTGTCAAAATGTAGTTTTTATTATTCTTTTTTCCAAAATATAATAAAAAGTATGGGTCACTGGACTTTTTTTCACGCTACAGGTTGTGCAAAATTGTCAGATTTTGTATAGATTATACATGGAAAATCCAATTTTGTGTAATAAAAAGAAAACTACACCATAGAATTTGAAGATAAAATGTGAGAAGATAGCTCTTATAACATGCTTTCAGATAAAAAAGAAAAAATGGGGTCACCAGACTTGTTTTCTTGCTAGATTTTAAAATAGGTAAATTCACCTGACTTGTTTTCTTGTTAGATTTTAAAATAGGTAAATTCACAACACTTTCTATTATAAAAATTACTTATCTGAGTTATCTTCCCTTATGTGGCAAAGATGAAAAAAAAATGAATCAAACAAAAATAATGTGTTTTTTTAGAAAACAAGAGTGCACACGCTTAAATGTCTTGCCTTCTTTACTAACCATTGATATTATGTTGATAGTCCTAAATGAAAGCTTTACTACAACTATTACATAAACTTAACATGATCCAAGAAAATGAAGTCAAGGTCATATAAACCAAATGAGAAATACATGTACACCTTACAATCATTCAATACACTAAATATAGTTTACCTATTGCTTATAGTTTCTAAGAAACAGACTTAACCAAGAAAACTAAACATTGACCAATGAATCGTGAAAATGAGGTCAAGGTCAGATGAACCATGCCAGGCAGACATGAACAGCTTACAATCCTTCCATACAGCAAATATAGCTGACCTATTGCTTATAGTTGAAGAAAAACAGACTGAAACACATAAACTTAACACTGAGCAATGAACCGTGAAAATAAGGTCAAGGTCAAATAAAACCTGCGAGACTGACATGTACATCATAGAATATTTCCATACACCAAATATAGTTGACTTATTGCATAGAGTATAAGAAAAAAGACCAAAACACAAAAACTTAACTTTGACCACTGAACCATGAAAATGAGGTCAAAGTCAGATGACACCTGCCAGTTGGACATGTACACCTTACAATCATTCCATACACCAAATATAGTAGACCTATTGCATAAAGTATAAGAAAAACGGACCAAAACACAAAAACTTAACTGTAACCACTGAACCATGAAAATGAGGTCAAGGTCAGATGACACCTGCCAGCTAGACATGTACACCTTACAATCATTCCATACACCAAATATAGTAGACATATTGCATACAGTATAAGAAAAACAGACCAAAACACAAAAACTTAACTATAACAACTGAACCATGAAAATGAGGTCAAGGTCAGATGACACCTGCCAGTTGGACATGTACACCTTACAGTCCTTCCATACACCGAATATACTAGACCTATTGCTTATAGTATCTGAGATATGGACTTGACCACTAAAACTTAACCTTGTTCACTGATCCATGAAATGAGGACCTTGCAAGGTATGCACATACCAAATATAGTTATCCTATTACTTATAATAAGAGAGAATTTAACATTACAAAAAATCTTAACTTTTTTTTCAAGTAGTCACTGAACCATGAAAATGAGGTCAAGGACATTGGGCATGTTACTGACGGAAACTTCGTAACATGAGGCATCCATATACAAAGTATGAAGCATCTAGGTCTTCCACCTTCTTAAATATAAAGCTTTTAAGAAGTTAGCTAACGCTGCCGCCGGATCACTATCCCTATGTTGAGCTTTCTGCGACAAAAGTCGCAGGCTCGACAAAAACAGCTGTACATATGATAAAACACATCATTTTCTATATCAACATGAAAAGTCTTGCACATGAATTACATACTACTCTCAAAATTTGCACATTTCATTAAAGATCTAAACCAATTGTTATCTGCTACTTCAAAATCCAAGATGGAGGAAGACACCCCTGCCACCTTAAATTGTCATGCTTCACTTTAAAAATATCTAAAATAGCCTTCTTTGCTGCCAGAGTTAAAACTTGATAACTTACCCATAGAACTAGATTCCATACGTGATGCTGTGTTTACTGTATCTCCAAATAAACAATACCTAGGCATCTTGAGACCAACAACTCCAGCTACGCAAGGTCCTGGAAAAGACAAAATTTATGAAAATAAATATAATTCAGTACAATGACAGTAATTATAAAAAAAAACCTGCCTGTATCAACAGTAAGATATATGTGACTAACATATAAGATGCAATAGAAATAAAATCTCACAGTCAAAGGTCAAATGTTTTTTTTTTTTAGTATTAAACCTATATTTACCTATTGTAACAAAAGATCAGCTTTATGCTGTCCATTGTCACTGTACATATGTGACTGCAAAAAAAAAAAACCAGACTAACTTAGGCAAACATTTATATTTTTGAACTGAAATGTATAAAAGATATGACTTCTACATTGTTCTTACCAATGTCAGTAGAAACAAGAATGCACACGCTGTCTTGCTAAGCATACCCCTACTGAAGATTAATGGATGGACAAGTTGATTGCAAAATAGTCCCAACTTTTAAAGAGGGAGTATAAAATTTCACAATTTTAATACATATTCATAGAGAATAGATTAATAGTTTTCCTTTACTTCACAATTTTCATATGCTACACTTCTTTTGTCAACTTGAACAAGTGTTTGAGGCTGTTTTGAATAAAATTTCCCATCATGCAGCTTGTGAATAAAAAGCAAGGAATATATACAAGTCTAAAACAAACTAACATTAGAACATTTAAAAAATAAAGTTACTAACATGGCGACAACAAAGTGTTAACAGACAGGTCAAAAAATTATAATTAATTACCTGAATGCATTCCTACTCTCAGCTGTAACACTGTTCCTGGCATGTGTCTGATTTTAAATCCAACCATAGAAGCCATTAGATCCAGAGAACATGTGGCTATTTCTCCAGCATGTAAATCCCCATTACGTATAGGCAAACCACTTACAATCATGTCTAAACAGAAATATATGCATCATAAAAAAACAAGAGATGCTTGTTATGTATTCTAGGATATACATATAAAAATTCAAAATGAAATTTGTCTTAATGGAAGCAACTAGAGTAAAACTTTATGGAAAAGATCTGTTAAAGAAAAATCTGTCACAATACATGCTATAAACTGTCTTATTTTCAACAATTAAAGTCCCATAACTCTAGCAAGAGAAATTTGAAATTCAATAAAATCAAACAAAACTTTGTTTTTCGACTTGAAAGAATCAATCATTGTGTAAAAATTTCATGAAAACCCGTTGAACCTAGTTATAAGACATGCTAGAAGGGGTGGACAGTCAAAGAGATTGATAATTTAATACCATAAAAGATTGATTTTGATAGACTTGTAAAAAAAGGTGACACCAACTCATTCATTATCCATTTCAGTATATAAATAACACATAGCTGAAAGGGTGATAGAGCAGATTGTTACCCTGAGGCTCACAATTGATCAAGCGTCTCGTTGTAGGTTATTAGAGTATTTAGCCATGGGATAGAGTAAATCATCTCCTCCTACTAGCCAATCAAAATCTGGCATTTTAACCAGGGCTTCCAAAAAAATTTGAGCCAGCTGGACATTTTTTGTCTTATCCAGAGTTCAGTCCCTTAAGACTTAGTAACAAAAGGAAAGCATATTTTAAAATCAGTTGGACATCATATAAACAATGATTGACGCAAAAATGATTTTAAACTTGACTTTTGATATAAATTTCGATGTTCTGAGGTAAACTGTTTAATTGACGGTGCATCATTCGAAGTGTGCAATATCAACGTACTAATATGTCTGCCTTAGACTCTTTATTTGTGGAAAATTATGCTGTCAAAAACTTCGCTTTCGATTTTAAAAAACACACATTTTTCTAATACCAGATGTTGACTTGACAATGGTAAAACATGGACCAGAGACGGATACGTAAAATCTGTGTACGTTTACAAAGCACGATTTGAGTTGAAGTAGCTCTTTCCACGTTATTTTTTCAAGAAAATACTGGAAATGAAAGTTAATTAAAGGTATCAATGATAATTTTTGAAAAATCGGATGCATAATTAAACCTCAAACCTGTGCACATGTGCACACGTGTACTAGTTAAAACAACGCGGTTCTGACGATTTTTCGCTTACAACCTTTATTACTACCTTTTTTATTTTTTCATCAAATCATGTTCATATAGGTATTTCTGATAAAATAAATCTCTTTGATTAAATTGATTAGATGCAAACTGCTGAAATTTAAATATAACACGGAAATCTCAAATTACTACTGAGAAATGTTAATGAAACAGGAAATGTAAAAATCGCTAAGATGACCGTAGTTGATCATCATTAATTTTTCAAGATGACCATAACATATAACAAGGATGACCGTGATTCAATAATCCGAGCAACATATAATGTTGAGTTTGTCTCAATAGGGGCTCGGTTAGCGGATATAAATATGTTTAATCAATTTACTTTTAACTTTTTGCCGTATTTTAAGTACAGGACATATATAGGGCCTTAAATAAAATATTGTTTGTTTCCCCAATCCCGACCGACCCTGCAAAAATGGTCCTACTCATAAAATTTATTGTCAAAACTTAGTCAAATATTATTTCATTCATTTCCGATTTTCAGGCTTGCCGGATCATCCGATAATGTTCAAGCTTTTTGGAAAAATAAAATTATTTCCCTACCTACCTACCCACACCTGCTTGGCAGGGTCGGGATTGGGGAAACAAACAATATATTAATTTAGGCCTAGTAAATTGAATATTGCTATTAAACATTGAAATATTGATAACAACATCAAAATGTTAATACAAATTGACAGAGATACAATAAAAAAAAATTTGAAAAAATGATTAAACATATTTATATCCACTAACCGAGTCCATATATATGTGTCCACGGGAAGCAGATTAATAGTTTACTTTGTCCTTAAGTATTAATTTAATTTTTTTTATAGAATTTGACCAGGTTCCTCCTTGTAATACGCTATTCGTACAAGACTGTTGTAGGATCTAAGTGGTAGACTTTGGTTACATCTTCTGACATCAGACCCGGACTTCTCTTGAACTGAATTTTAATGTGCATATTGTTATGCGTTTACTTTTCTACATTGGCTAGAGGTATAGGGGGAGGGTTGAGATCTCATAAACATGTTTAACCCCGCCGCATTTTTGCGCCTGTCCCAAGTCAGGAGCCTCTAGCCTTTGTTAGTCTTGTATTATTTTTAATTTTAGTTTCTTGTGTACAATTTGGAGTTTAGTATGGCGTTCATTATCACTGAACTAGTATATATATTTGTTTAGGGGCCAGCTGAAGGACGCCTCCGGGTGCGGGAATTTCTCGCTGCATTGAAGACCTGTTGGTGACCTTCTGCTGTTGTCTGTTCTATGGTCGGGTTGTTGTCTCTTTGACACATTCCCTATTTCCATTCTCAATTTTATAAATTATAAATTTGGTAATATTTTGCCGGAGCTCACCTTTATTAGTTTGATCATAGTTTTTTTTAACAACATTGTCTGTCTATATAAAAACATAAACAAAAACATAGATATAAATAGACATCAAACTCATGCAATTGGATTTTTCTAGGACTGTCAGATTTCACATTATAGGTTAAAACAATGTTAATAATCGTTTTTACCTGCATAAAAATGAGTTTTAGAATATCTAATTAGTCAACTAACTGGTTTGCACTTGTTTCACTTCCAATGTTAACATACTTTTCCTTTCAATACTGAACCCATAACTAGCTAAGGGGTTCAATTGAAGTTCACATGAGTATAGATTTAATGAAGTCGAATTATTCACTTGCAAGTGAATAATTTATTATCGATGTCTCTTTGCTTATTTTGACAAAACTGAAACAAACTGGCCACGTAAATCGAATTATTCTTTCACTATTTCACTTTCACTAATGATTGAACACAAACAAAATAATATTTTATCACGTAGCTAATGCCCCTTTAATATTTTATTGAAATAATTCTTACATGTTTGATGTACATTTCAAATTATTTAATTCTCTATAAATTATGTTGCGAATAGCATCAATGGATACAGTAATCAATTAGTATTCCTTTTCAGAAAGAAAACGATTCTTTGTTTTATAAAAGATTTGTTCTATTTAATTGAGATATAATTACTTTTTAAGGATATATCGTTTAACAGTATTGATGGTATATACATGTATAGTTTAATAAACCCAAGTTACTTGAAATTGTTAAAACATTTTGCGTCTGGGCACTTACACATATGAATAAATGAACCATTCATAATTTTAGCAATTTTATTTTTGTTATATCAATTTTTCAGTATCACTCCGAGCATGGAAGTACATGTATAATATATTACTTCTATGCTCTGAGGATGTAAACTTTAAGATTTTAGTCATTGCAAAATTTGACCCACTTTGTTGGTTTTCTATCATGAACCTTTTTTCCATACATGTCATAGTGAAAGTACCTGGGACAGATTCATTTAGGAGTTATGTTCTATTTGTATTTTCATCCTCAGCAATTTACATTGTTTTTGGAAAGTACATTTCTTGGTAAAACTCCAGTGGGGGACTTGCAGATTTTTCATTAAAAATTTCTGACCTCGATAAAGTTGAAAATAAATATTCTGATTAAATTCCTAGAAAATTTATTCTAACCACAATGTACATTTTTTAGTAAAAAGAAATAAAGAATCTTGCTCTAAAGTGGTTGAAGTAAATTTTCTGACCCGCAATATTTTTTAAAATAAATATTCTGACCCGATAAAATATTTCTGACCCTCACCTCAGAATCAAATGACCATTCCCTTACCTGAAAAAGTTTGAAAAATTTCTCATATCTAGTTGTTCAGGAAATTCATGCATCAACTCTGAACAGAACACATCTTTGTTATTTAGGCAGACTATAATTTGAAATCATCTGGATTTTATATAGAAATGAACTTTAATTTAGTTTTAGATGCATGATTTTTAATATTAGTTGTTATTGGCTTTGAACTAACTGTCAGTAACTGTGAGTACTCATAGATCTGTACTTAGCGTCTTTTTGTTGTTGAGATGTACAAGTACCCGTCCACGTATTTTTGTTATATGTATTTCTATTTGTATCCTTTTTCAACTGATTTTTATAGTTCGTTCTTATGTTATACTGTTACACCACTGTCCCAGGATAGGGGAAGGTTTGGATCCCTCTAACATGTTTAACCCCGCCACATTCTGTATATATGTGCCTGTCTCAAGTCAGGTTCCTGTAACTAAGGGGTTGTCATTTGTTGCTGTGCTGCATATTTTTTTCGTTCATTTTTTTGTATACTAATTAGGCCGTTAGTTTTCTCGTTTGAAATGTTTTACATTTGTGATTTTGGGGCCTTTTATAGCTGACTATGCGGTATGGGCTTTGCTAATTGTTGAAGGCTGTACGGTGACCTATAGTTGTTAATTTCTGTGTCATTTGGTCTCTTGTGGAGAGTTGTCAAATTGGCAATCATGCCACATCTTCTTTTTTTATATTGAAGTAGTCCAAGGGTATAACATTTGCTTCATGAGCAGTGATAAAAGCTTCTGACTACCTTAAAATGTTCTTTTTTTTGGTTCATTATTCATGAGTTTTCATTTGTTTTGTTTGTAGAAAAAATAGTCCATAATTGATATTTCTGATGAAACTAAATAATATATTTATATCATTCATTTTTGATAATTTCAATTCCAATTAGTAGTTTTCTTTTTTTTCTGTATAAATTACAGTAATCTTTTACCAATTACGGTCATCCCTGTTTTGAATCTCTGGTACTGTTACGGTCATCTTGATCGAGAATTACGTTATCTTAGCGATTTTTTCAAATCGAATTTCCTGTTTCATATACATTTCTCGGTAGTAATTTGTGATTTCCATGTGAATCTTTTATCAATTTATATCATACTTATGTAAACTTTATATAGAATATATCTTAGAAACACTTTAACAAACAATACCGATTCTGACCTAATTCTGCGTCCGCCATCTTGAGATGACAGTGAATCGAATTACGGTCATCAGCTTTACCCCAGCGATGGTGTTTTACTAAAAAGTAGTTAGATTTAGACCAGGAATGTTTTTAATTTAAAATAAAAAAAAAAAACTTCCAAAAAGATCGATCGATGTCCGGCACAAATAGTTTACCTGACACAGTTGATCACAGGTAAATCTCACCTGTTAGACACTTAATCAACCTTGATTGTAATGAGAGGGGATTATAGTAGGGCTTGTTTATAGATTACTGTCACTTTAATGACCGGAAAAATGGGTCTGTTTAAAGCACAAGGTCAAGTCAAAATGGGCGATTTTTCGGAATCACATGAACGTTGAAATGGCAAACCTATGTAGGATGTCTGTTTCATGCTTGGCCATGTCGGACAATATCTGATAAATTTATATTTGTCCGGCAAATATGATCGTTTTGGAAGCCTTGATTTCAACATGAAGTATAATAACATAAATTGTCGGATGTTTCTCTGACAGCATTAATATTATACAAACAGAATAGTGGATTCTAGATATATTCTATAATAAATGTTACAAATGTTTCGAAACAATTTGCAACTTTACACCTATGCCAGGCTATGGCCAAAGCTGATCTATATTATACATACAAGCATCTCCAATGGTTTCCACTTTATAAACATCATAGTTATCCAGAATAGCATCAAATGTAGTATACAGATCGTTCAGTAAATCTACAACTTGGAATGGAGTACTGCCCTTGGCAATGTTTGTAAATCCTACAATGTCACTACAATGTAAAAAGCATGAAATGTATTATCCCTTTGACAAAATGAGGCCTTGACCTCTATAGGGTTAGAGTAAATATGGATTTTATTTACTGATTTCAGTTATTTTAATCTTAGAATTAAGTTTTTTATTTCTCTGAATTGCATATGAATTAGTTGAAAATGACATGTGTGTTTAGATACACATTTTTATTTTAATGAATGTCTAAATAATAATTAATATATAATAAGGGCGGGCATTGCATCCATACTTTGATGGTCAGTTCCAAGTTTTCAACAACATTAAAGAGATTTGTTAACCAAATTAATTCCAGTGTCATTTTTCACTCTTATTATATACAATCCAAGATGGTGCCATAAACCTACCTGTTAATCACAAATTATTTGTCAATAATCTTTAATTGCTGAAAAATCGTAAACACCATCAGTTATTATCTAGACCCAAATTTCCTACACCTGTGACACAAAATCAATTAAAGAACCTAAGTGAGCGTGCTCACATCCCCACATTGTCACTGGAGAAATAAAATAACAGTAAGAAAAAAAAATTGTATTAGAGAAAAAAAAATTGAATCATAATTTCCTGTCGATATGCACATCCACGTAGTATGTCCTTATTATCTACAAAGTTTAATGAAATTCTGTTGTGTGGTTTTGGAGGAGTTGCGATGACAAACTGTTGTAGTAGTATATTGAAGCAAATAAGTTCAAAGGGGCATAACTCCTAGAAAAAAAATTGAATCGTAATTTCCTGTCGATATGCACATCTGCATAGTATGTCCTTATTATCTAAAAAGGTTTCATGAAATTCTGTTTTGTGGTTTCAGAGGAGTTGCGATGACAAACTGTTGCAGTAGTATATTGAAGCAAATAAGTTCAAAGGGGCATAACTCCTAGAAAAAAAATTGAATCGTAATTTCCTGTCGATATGCACATCTTCATAGTATGTCCTTATTATCTAAAAAGGTTTCATGAAATTCTGTTGTGTGGTTTCAGAGGAGTTGCGATGACAAACTGTTGCAGTAGTATATTGAAGCAAATAAGTTCAAAGGGGCGTTACTCTAAGAAAAAAAATTGAATTGTAATTTCCTGTCGATATGCACATCTACGTAGTATGTCCTTATTATCTGAAAAGGTTTCATGAAATTCTGTTGTGTGGTTTGAGAGGAGTTGCGATGACAAGAAACAGGACTGACGGACAGACGGACTGGTCAAAAACATTATACCCTTCGCAAAAAATTTGCGTGGAGTATAATAAGGAAATGAGGACGTCAACAAAATTACAAAAATGTGAACTGACAAATTTTCAGGGTTAAAATGTTCAAATAGCAAAAAAGGAGCAGCAGAAGAGGGCCTAAAAATCCAATGGAGGAATCACTAGTATTGAATTATTTTTCACCTGAAGAAGATGGTAACGCATTCAAAGCTTTCAGGTTCGACTGGGTTTCCATGTTTGAGATCTTCCACGACTTTCTTTGGTAACATCTGACTGATGAGTTGTTCTGTCTTACGTTTCTCCTCTACTAATTCTTTTGTTCGATCTGCTACAATCTGTTCTAAATTACTGGAATATTTTTCAAGCTAAAATTATAAAATATTTTTGAAATAATTGTTCATATCATGCAAACTCGGTTGAGATAGAAAAGCTAGAAACTAAGGGGGCACATGCCGTTGTCAAAGATGTCATAGGCAAAATAGCGATAAACAAATTATCAATGTTCTTTCAAACTCGAGGATATTTCTCTGTCACATCTCATCTCAGGGCTGTCGACCTTAGATGAATGAGATTGTAGCTGAAAAACACCCTCTCATTTGAAATGCCATCGATAATCTATAATTATCTATTGGAACAATTTACCCCTAAAAAAAATTGAACACCTGTTTAAACAGGTTCGACTGTAATTTCTATCATCTGGTTTAATATCTAAATATTCACAGAGAAAGTTATAAAATATTACAGTATTGTCTGTTTTCCCTTGTTAGTACTGATGGCATTTCTCTAATGACTTCAAGGTATCTACAAAGGTTAAATTTTCTTAGCAGTACTGAGATTCATTATTATTTGTTGGATTAAATTTTTCATGGATTTTGTGGGTATAGATGAACAGTGAATTTTTAAAATATTCAACAAAGTACAAATTTTCTATAGGCTTGTAAGCAGATTGCATCAAAACCACGAAATCAAATCAGACTACATGAATGAATTTTATTTTTACAGGACATTCGGTCTGGTAAACAACCTAGCTTTACCAAACCGAATGAAATTTTACCAGACCATTTTTTTTTTACATCTTATTGTATATTATCCGACAAAATACAACAAACTTATGACTTGTTGTGCCCTACTCCTCTCCAAAATGCACAAAAAACAAAATCATGTGACAAGAGTGTATATTTTGATGAAAGTTCTGCACAATTGCTTGAATGCATTTCAGTGATAAAGTAAAGTAATGTCACATTTTATTGGATTTTGACATGAAAATTATTTGTGAACTAAAAATATAATTTAGAGTTTCTGTATAAAATATTTCCTGTTTCTTCTTTCTTTTTCATATATCTTTTGGTTTTCAATTCTAGTGTTTATATTTCATAGCTGTATTTTGTGACCTGCTTGGATTTTTTTTATTGATTTTTTTTATTTGATCGGCAAACCCGGAATTAGCCTTATCCCTTCCTGGAATCTGTTCCGGTATTGTCTCCATTTCCAGTTGATGGCAGCCATTGTTGTTTTTGTCAGTCAGATATGTTTTTACTGGGATTTACACATTACTTGTTGGCGATTTTCGGCATAAAGCTAGCGGTTGAACAAAATAAACATTGCTGTCATGAATAATAAAGATGAAAATGAATTTTGAGATCGTTTGTGAATTTTGCTAGAATGCTAGAAAAATCCATGAAAAAAAAACACCAGACATTCGGACCGGAATTCAACAAAATTTTACAAGACCGATTATTCACCGATTTGTACGACGGTCCGTGTAGTCTGTCAAATATCCACGAAAATTCAATGTTTCCTCCATCAGTGAAAAATAAATGAATCCACAGTAGTATGGTAGCAATTGGCCCTTCACAAGTTTATTATCTGATTTTTATACCTCCGCAGCGCCGGTAGGGGCATTAAGTGTTACCCTTGCCCGTCTGTACGTCCGGACATCCCAAAATTAGTTTCCATTCTCTAACTTTACTTTGCCTCAATCAAATGTTGTGAAACTTATACACAGTGCTTATTACCACAAAACACATATCAAGTCGAATTTGGGTTGCATCACTTTTACAGGTCTTAAGTTATGTCCCTTTATAACGTTATATGCAAGTGGGGGCATCATCTGTGTCCCATGGACACATTCTCCATTTATTTTCTGAAGTTTCAACTGTGTTAAATTCTTAATAAAGGCAGTCAAATTTGCTGGCTTTCAAGAACATCAGACACAATCAGACCTTCAGGTCATTTGAGCTAGTAATTTGATATAAACACAGTATAACTTACCATATTGACAAGATTATCAATCAGTTCTCCTTTGATTGGATAAATTTCATTCAACTTTTCATTTACATTCTTAAATGATGGACGCAGCTCTGGCTGATTACCCCAACACTGTCCCATCAACTACAAAAATAATCAATAATCAATATCAATAAATACAATTTGATTAAATGTTTTAAAAGTTAGAGCTTACTATGAGGTATTTGTTTTGCTCATTGATGAAAGCAGTACAATGACCTATAATTTCTTTTATCTTCGTCATTTGAACTCTTGGATAGTTGTCTCATTCGAAATCATACCACATTTCCTTATTTGTATCATGGTATCCAGCGAAGCACTTTCAAAAAAGGTAACTTCCATAAAAACATATTTAGAATTCACTTACATTTTCATTGTACTTGTCCCCACCCATAGTTGAGATTTCAAATTGCCTTCTCTTGGTCCCATGTATGTATTAATGGAACATCCCTTATGCATATCAGAATGCATTGTCTTCTTAATTTAGAATGAAAAATAAGCTTAATGCTTTCTTATATTCAAAACTTTTCCCAGATATATCAACACATACCTAATAAATCTGCAACTTTACACTATATTTTATGTAGATATAGAACCACAAACCACAGACTCCCAATAGAGACAGGGAGGTGGAATAATATGAATAGAAATGATAGAAAATGTCATCTTTGTAATATTGGTAATATTGGAGACGAATTTCATTATCTGCTAGAATGTCCATTTTTTAACGACAGTAGAAAATTATACCTTGAAAAATTCTATTTGGCTTGTGTTAATACACTAAAGTAAAGAAAATTGATGAGCAAATTAAACAAAAAGTCAGAGCTAAAAAGATTATGCAAGTTCATAAAGTGTGTAAATAAACATGTGGGTCCTCCTGGCTAAAATGTATATTATTTTGAAACCACTGTATTGTATATAAATGTTTTGTAAATAGATGCATATTCCTGTACATATTTTGCACTCTCTCTGTACCTATGTATCTGCAATGGTTATGAGAATAAAGATAAATAAAATAAACTACATTGAACTACATTGAACAAAAAGCTTCACAAATCTTTTTTCAATTTTCAAATAAAAAAAATTAAAAAAAAAAAAAAAAGAATTCTGCTTTTTTTTTGGCAAGTTTGTGAATTTCCCGTTTCTGAAATGTTCACTGAAAAATGTCCTTTGAAGAAATTTCACATTTGCAAACTATTTTAGTAATCAATTTAGTTTTGCTTTTTATGCTTAATACTATCAAATGACATTTTTCAGTAAGCAGAAATTCTTTGTCATTTTCACTGTACAATATACTGTAAATTCAGAAATTATTGGGATGTTTTTATTATTGCAAAAAATGTGACAGGGTTATAATCGCAATAATTTAAACTCGCATTTTGAAATTTTTTATATTAATTAAACAGGATTTTTCTAAATATCGCAAAAATTAAAATTGCATTTTAGTCTAAAATGACAAAAGCGCAATAATAAATGCACGCAATAATTTCTGAATTAACAGTAGTCTGTGAAACCAAACCATAGTTAAGATTTCATAGTACTTTCCATTGGTTCCAAGTATGTTTTTATGGAATTAAACTAAACCTAATAAACAGCTGTGCCATGAGTGCATGATACGCCCGTCACTTTTTCAAAGAATAAAGTTCAATAACTTCTCAATGTCATATCAGAAAATCATGAAAAACTAAAGGGAGGTTATCTTAATAGATATAAACCAGTCACCAAGATTTTATGATAACTGCTCAAAGCATTGTCCGAAAACTGGTAAATCCCCCCTTTTTTATGAATAAAATCACGTAACTCCGAAACTTAACATCTAAAATTTATAAAAATCAAAGGGGAGCTTACGTCAATAGATATAAACAATTCACCAAAGTTTCATAAAAACTGCTGAAAGCATTTTTGAGTTATTGTCCGAAAACTGGAAAATCCCCCCTTTTTCATAAATAAAACCCCATAACTCAGAAGCGTAAAATCTAAAATTTATAAAAATCAAAAGGGAGCTCATGTCAATAAAAATAAACAATTCACCAAAGTTTCATGCAAATTGGTGAATGTTCTCGCGTTATTGTCCGAAAACTGGAAAATCCCCCCTTTTTTCATAAATAAAACCCAAAACCTCGGAAACTTAAAATCTAAAATTTATAAAAAACAAAAGGGAGCTCACATCAATAAATATTAGCAATTCACCAAAGTTTCATGCAAATTGGTTCAAGCGTTTTTGAGTTATTATCCGACATGTTGACGACAGACGGACAACAGTATACTATAATACGTCCCGTAAACGGGCGTATAAAAATTATTTCAATTTTCAAAAATTAAATTCAATGTTAACCTTTTGTAATCCTGTTTTGGCAGCATATTCCTCAGGCAGATGTTCATTTTTCACTGCAGGTCTGAAAAGCTTTGTTGTATCGCCACCACTCTTATACCACAACTAAAACAAATTAACAAATGCTAAATAAAATTCTTAATGTAAAAAGAGTTCTTGAATTTGTTTCTGTAGTATAAAACATGGATACTCTACCATTGAAACATAAAAGCTACACTATTCTGAGTTCTGAAATATAAACCTTAAATAGTAAATCAAAGTGCTTGTAAGCACCGAAGGGTAAAGATTGCTTTAATTTTTCAGTGGGAAGTAAGGGACGACATCAAAAGATCAATGTCAGATAAAAAACTTAATTCAAATAGTTTGGGGGTGGGGTTAAAACCGCTGTTTTGTTATCCGACATTGATTTTCGGATTGAAAAATACGGATTCAAGTTTGGCCATAACATATGTTTGGACTTTTACACCAAATGAAAGCCATCAAATTGTACCGGAAAGCAAATATTTGGGCGAAATTAATCGTTGTATCTCCGTCGTTCAAACGCTTTATTGATAGTGAATTTTGAATGATATGAAACCATATACAGATCAACACAGATTGTTTTGGTCCACACGGCATGGTGACATTCTTAAAACAAATTGTAAAATTTCTTTTAACTGTGTTCATTATTTAATTATTAAAATGAAAACTGAAATATAAATCAAATAAAAATTTGAAAATTATATAGAACTTTTTGAGATAGTAGAAAAATATGACAGTGTTCAACAGACATTGAATAGAAATGACATAGACCATATCACATTCACTACATTCATTTTTGGATTGTGCTTTTCCTTCTCTCCACAGTTTAGTTTAAAGCTGTATATTTTATATGAAACAGTGAACTGCTTTATATTCATTTGAGAAAATGAAGGACTGCTGAACCAACGCCTATAAAGTTTAGTGTAGGTAGAGATTCCTTAAGTGGATACCGATGGTATGCAAGGTTGCCAAAGAAAGAAAAATATATAAATACCACTAGATTGACAACAACACTTAAGAAATCTGCAAATTTATTAAGTCGACATGTTTCACCGATTAGATCGACGTCATCAGGACAAGGTACAAATAAAAGAAATCTCTGAAGTACAATAAAATGGTATCAAGTTTTTTACGTCATAATGTTCAATCTATTGTCTCTGTTGTTATGAGTTACTTATGTATTGAATGTATTTAGTAGAATAGAATGTTAGTAAAGTTGTACAGTTTTTTAAAATAAAATAATTTAATAATTAAAATGTTATTGTCTACTGTTTGTCACTGTTGAAAATGTTATATATTCCTCGGACTGTTACTTGTGTTATACAATTGTTCTCTGAGAGTTCATCTCTGCATACTGTTTGCTGGCTTGAGCTTTGAACTGGTCCCTTGTATGTTTTATAAATGTTGGAAGTCGGGGAAATTTGTTCCTCCTCAACTAAATAGCCGTAGCTGTTTGTGCTGTATTTCGGCGGTCCTGTGGTTTTCACATATTTTACATCGTCATCTGAGTCTTCCGGATCGCTGAGGTGTAAGTCTTCTCTGAGTACATCCATGCCAGGTTGACTCTTCTGGTGTCTCTTGTATATTATCTGGAGTTGAGGCTGGGTATTTAGATGGTGCTGCTACGATCCTAAATTTTGGTGTCATTTCCTGTTAAGTGCTGGCTTCTACCGGTGGAATCCATTTGGTTATTGGTTCAGCTGAGGCTTTAGGTGTTGCCGTTTTCTCCATGAAGTCTGATGCTGGTTTTTCCTGGTGTTTGGTTGTGATATGGTTTTTGGCTGCACATTTCCTGGTGAATTTTGCTGGGCAGTGAAGGAATTCAAATATTGTTACTGTTGGTTCGTGAAAATTTCGGTGGTGTCTGCGGAGCGTACTGATGCTGGCAAACTTTTTATCACATTTTAAACATTGAATTCTCGTCTTTAAGTTTTTTCCTCTGGATTCTCCAAAGCATTCAACTTTTCTCGGAGTTATTTTAGTCTTGGCCATTTTATTTTCTTCTGTTTAATCCCCAAGGTTCAGCAGTTCCTAATTTGTGGATTAAGCTTTCTTCTGTGCATAGTCTAATGTTTATATCGTTTTTCGTTGTTACTACACCCTTAATTGTGACGTTATCCCTATTGTGATGTTCTGATGTGAAGTGTTGTGATACCGGTTTGTGTTGGTTTTGTACATTAATATCATTGAAATGGCCCCTAAATCTCTCTTTTAAACTGTTGCCTGTTTGTCCAACGTATTGTTTTTTACATTTTGTGCATTCTATAACGTAAACCACCTTAATGGTTTCACATGTAATTTCATCCCTAATTTTAATAGTGTATTGGTTTGATGTGCTTTTTATGCTGTTTGTAGGTTTTATGAATTTACATAAATAGCACTGTTTACCACATAAGCGGGTTCCCGGAATTTTATTTTTGTTTGTGATATCGGTATGTACTAAAATACTTCTTAGTGTCATTGATCGGCGGTAATTGGTTACAAATTTTGCCTGTGCTAAATTTTGCGTATCTGGTGTTCTTGTTTTCTGTCTTTTCTGTGATTCAAGATCCTATTAATATTTTTGGTACTATTGTTAAAGGAAATCACTAAAGGTATGTTCGAGTCAGTGTTTTTTCCTAACGGTTCTAATAGAGTGGTTCTATTTTTCTGCTTAGCTTTTTTGATTGCATGATTAACTACGTCCGGGGGGGAAAGGGGGGGGGGGGGGGGTATCCCCGTATTATAAAGTTCCTTTGTAAATTTTCCCCATGTGCCGTAAATTCTTCCTTTTTGCTGCAGATTCGTCTTATTCGTAAGGCTTGGCTATACGGTATACTTTCTTTTTGGTGTTTAGGGTGGTTTGATGAATAATGAAGGTAAAGATTTGCATCCGTAGGTTTTTTGTAAAGGGTAGGTGTTAGGTTTCCGTTGTCATCTAAATTTACAATGGTGTCTAGAAAATTTACACTCCTGTTGTTTATGGTGAAGGTAAATTTTATAGAGTGGTGACAATCATTTAGGGCCGTAATGAAGGATTGTAGTTCCTCGCTCGAGTAGGGCCATATTATGAAAATGTCGTCTATAAATCTCCGCCATACTAATGGTTTTTTGTGTTGCGTGTTTAAGAATTCCCTTTCAATTTTGTCCATAAAGATAATGGCATATTCCTGAGCCATGATAGTCCCCATAGAGGAACCCATTTTTTGCATGTTATATTTGTCATTAAATTTGAAACAGTTCTCTGTAAGAATAAAGTGAATAAATCGTAGTAAAATCCAAGTGGGCGTGTTCTTATTTTCTCTTTTCTCTAGCATTTCCTTTGATGCAAGTATTCCTTCTTGATGCGGTATATTCGTATATAGTGAGGTTACATCTGCTGTGACTAGTATACTCTGTGGTGGTACTATGTTTAGAGCTTTCAATCTCTGTAGAAAGTCTTTGGTATCCTTTAGATATGAGGGTATGTTAGGAATGAACGGTTTTAGGTAAACATCTACTACTTTTGACATTCTTGCTGTCGGGGACTCAATTTGAGAAATGATTGGTCTACCTGGGTTACCTGGTTTGTGTATTTTCAGTAAGGTGTAAAATATCGAAGTGCGACAATGTTTTTGTAATAGGTATTGTGCTAGGTTAACCGGCAGTAAGTGTTTTACTGATTTAACAAATTCTTTAATTTTCTTTGATATTTGTTCGTTTTGGTTAGATTGTACTTGTTCGAAAAACATTTGATTATTTAATTGTCTATTTGCTTATTTTATGTAATCGGCACGGTTCATTATTACAATTGCTCCTCCTTTGTCTGCTGGCTTTATTATAATATCTTTGTCATTTTTTAAATCCCTTAATGCCACGAGTTCGTCTTTTGAAAGGTTCTATATTGTTTGCGTTGTTGTGGTTCCTGGCAAATATCTTCTACTATGCAGTTGATAAAAGAGTCCAAATCTTTATTCCGTCCGGGTGGTGGTGTCCACCCCGAAGACAATTTGAAAGGGTTCTAGGTATATTCTTCGTTTGGTGTGGTTTCATCATTATCTTTATTTTTGTCGAGCCTTTGACTTTAGTCGAAAAAGCGAGACATAGCGATCCTACATTCCGTCGTCGTCGTCGGCGGCGTCCACAAATATTCACTCTGTGGTTAAAGTTTTTGAAATTTTAATAACTTTCTTAAACTATCCTTGATTTCTACCAAACTTGGACAGAAGCTTGTTTATGATCATAAGATAGTATCCAGAAGTAAATTTTGTAAAAATAAAATTCCATTTTTTCCGTATTTTACTTATAAATGGACTTAGTTTTTCTGCCGGGAAATATTACATTCACTCTGTGGTTAAAGTTTTTAAAATTTTAATAACTTTCTTAAACTATCCTGGGTTTGTACCAAACTTGGACAGAAGCTTGTTTATGATCATATTAAAGATAGTATCCAGGAGTAAATTTTGTAAAAAAAAAATCCATTTTTTCCTTATTTTACTTTTAAATGGACTTAGATTTTCTGCCAGGAAACAACACATTCACTCTGTGGTTAAAGTTTTTAAAATTTTAATAACTTTCTTATACTATTTTGGATTTGTACCAAACTTGGACAGAAGCTTGTTTATGATCAAAAGCTAGTATCTAGAAGGAAATTTTGTAAAAAAAATAAATCCATTTTTTCCATTTTTTACTTTTAAATGGACTTAGATTTTCTGCCAGGAAACAACACATTCACTCTGTGGTTAAAGTTTTTAAAATTTTAATAACTTTCTTATACTATTTTGGATTTGTACCAAACTTGGACAGAAGCTTGTTTATGATCAAATGCTAGTATCTAGAAGGAAATTTTGTTTTCTTCCAGTTAACATTACATTCAGTCTGCAGTTAAAGTTTTTAAACATTTATTAGATTCATAAACTATCCTGGATTTTTACCAAACTTGGACAGAAGCTTCTTACAATCAAAAGATAGTATCAAGAGGAATATTTTTATTGATTTACTTCCTCATTTTTGTTGAGCCTGCGATTAACAGAAAAAGTAGGCGAGACACTGGGTTCCGCGGAACCCTTACGAATTTTTATTGTTGTAATGATGTTTTAATCTGATTCTACAGGAAAATAGAAGAACATCCGTTAATTGTTCAATTTGGTTTTGATAATTCGCGTGTAGGACTGAAATTTAAACCTTTATTTAGCAGTGTAATATAGTTTGTATTTAGAGCTTTGTTCGACAGGATTACAATGGCGTGTTTTGATTCATTCAAATTGGCGGCGTTTTTCTTAATTTTTCTATATATATTTCGTTTGATGAACTTTCTGTTTCTAGTCATTCTAACTTAATCTTGTCGATTTTTCTTTCCCTGAAGTACTAAATATTGGCATGATGAGTGTACTGTTTTAGTTTTTGTATTATTTTTAGGTGGTTTATGCATGTGGTGGGTTTGTTGTTGTTCATGAGGCCGTGGTCTTGATGTTCTTTTTTGGATTTTGTATTTCCTCTTTGACTGATATTTTAGTTCTTTCGATGAGGTTAGTAATGAGTAATATCCGAAATTTGGGTTTCAATGTTTTCGCATCGTTCTTTCCAGTATTCCTGTAACAATCCTACCAATTTACAGCTGAATTCTATATGGACCGTTTCCCATTTCATTAAAAATGATGGCCTGGTATCTGGTACTTGTGGTTTTATGTTTACTCTTAAGGTTTTGGGGATGGTATCTTTATTCTTACATTTATTCAAATACATATAATGTTGCTGGCACCTAACTAATTTCATGTTTAATTTTCTGAAGGCATGGAACGATGGTACATTCTTATCTTGAATCCTTTGTGGTCCATCCGTGAGCGTGCGTTCATCTGTTTATTCTTTTCCTTTTGTTTGATTGTGTTTCGGCCAAGATTGATGGAAATCGGTTTATTGCTGGCTTCTTGGAATCCTCGTTTTCGTTCCATGTAGGGTTGGCCATATTGCTGGCGCTGTGTGGTATAGGCGGATCCGTGAATACAGGGGTTCAGGATATAGAAACATGTCGACTTAATAAATTTGCAGATTTCTTAAGTGTTGTTGTCAATCAAGTGGTATTCTTTTGAGAAAAGAAACAAAAACAATCAAAACCATAAAACCACTATTTATCCATGCCAATAGTGGGTAGATGAAAAATGCACAATCCATGCTGACTGCAGTGTTTATAAAATTATAATATAACAGTGCCTTTTTTGATGCATACTAAAAATACACATCATTTTTTTCCAATATTTTTTAAAAGTGATGTCCAAGTCAATATACAGAACAAACATAAATTGTTGAGGAAAAACAGGACCCATGATACAAATAGTATACTCTGAGAGCATATGCCCACATTGGTGAATCAATTTTTCCCAAATTAAGTTAAGAAGGGGGGTGGGGGTCAGTGAAAAAAACTATGTGAATTAAGTTTTTTATCCTACATTGAACTTTTGATGCCATCCCTAAAATTAAACATTGCATTTTAAAAACATTGGTTGTAGTTCATTCAACTACAATTATATATGGACAAAGGAAGATAACTCCAATTTTAAAGATTACTTTAACAATGACATCATTGATATTTTTAGAACAGATATTAGATTACTGCACCATGCACATGTTATGTTATTTTCTTGACAAGTATAACATCATTTTGTAACTTGAATATCTGAGCATATATTTCATTGATAAATTTCTGGAAATGTTTATGGATGTTTAGAATGTTATGATCAATGCACTATATTTTGTGTATCTCAAAAGAAGTGATAAACCTTGGAAGATTTAGATATCAAGTCAGTACCATAGGGTTTTGATTGCATTTCATGCAATCTTTACCAAAAACAGCCTACCCAAAAAATTTAATGACACATTTTTTTTATAAAGATTTTTTCCTTCTCTAACGTTGTTTTCTTGTCTAAAACATGTAACTTATGCTTAAGGCCAAAAAATGAAAATAAAATAAAATCCCTACCTACCCACCCAACCCTAGAAGAAATGTCTAGGCAACATCAAACAAAGATTGTTTTATGGGTGGCCTCAGTCATCCAATAAATGTTTTTACAATAATTCACCTTTTTAGCCCCTGATGCTCCAGGGGCATCTTTATCTATGACAAGCTGTAAAATCTGTTCTGGTTCTAGAAAACCTGTCTCTGTACTGTATGGTTCTTCTCGTGTACAAACTTCTGACAAAATTATTCCAAATCTGAAATACATTATAGGTTTATTGCATAAAGAATGTTGGCTCCTCTGTTTCAAAATAACAAGCTTTTTAAAAGACTGATACAAATTGAAAGTATATAAATAACAGAACTTAATAAAATGTTTCGCTGAGCACAACTGGATACGACCGCAGAGGTCCAACCCTAAACAGTTGGGGCGAAAATGGACACAATATTCGCACTTGATACAGGTCTGAATTTGGATTGTAATTAAATATTTGACACATAATAGGTTTCTGACACCGAATAACTGTAGTCAAAGAACTTAGAATTGGTTATATGATTTGAATTTATATTCAATTTTTTGCTTTTGTGCAATACACTATGCTGTTGCGAATTGACCCCCCCTCCCCCCCCCGCCCCCCAACAAAAAAACAACTTTACCCCTTTTTTTTTGCTTTTGTGAAATACACTATGCTGTTGCGTATTGACCCCCCCCCCCCCTCCAAAAAAAAAAAAAATATGGTAATAATCTCAATTCAAATTTCCAATGGAGTTTGCAACCATAATTACCAATTTAAATACATCATAAAAGTCTTAAATAGATCATTTAAAAGCAGTGTAAGGGAGGTAATCCAACATTGTACAATTTTGTTTTTGGATTACCTCCCTTACACTGCTTTTAAATTGTCCATTAACCAGGAGACCCTTGTTTTTTCCCCTTTTTTGCCCCTAATTCCTAAACGGTTTGAGCCATAACCCCCCAAAGCTGATCCTAACCATCCCTTTGTGGTACGGAAACTTGTGGTATAATTTCAGAGAGATCCATACACTTAAACACAAGTTATTGTCTTGAAGTTACAAAAATGCTTATTTTTGGCCCCTAATTCCTTACTGTTGGTACCATAACCCCCAAAATCAATCACAACCTTCCTTTTGTGGTATTGAACCTTATGGTAAAATTTCATAGAGATCCATTCACTTAAACTAAAGTTATTGTGCGAAAACCAATGTGTCTTTGGACGACGACAGCACCATTGTCATACCAATATACGACCGCAAAAAAATCGCAAAATGTTTTTGCGGTCGTATAAAAAGCAAAAAAAATTGTTAGGTCCATGTCCTTATTTTTGAGGTATAATCAATTGAAAATATTTCGGGAAATGATTCTCTCTACATTTTTCATAAATGTAACATTGGCCCCTTTTTTCTTTCAAAAATGATGAAAAAATATTAAAGATTTTATAAGATTTTCAAAAACGGCTTTTTAGACCATTAGTAATAAAGTTATGTAAAAAAATGGGGTTATCTGCAAAATTTTCATTGGCACTACATGATAAAACTAGAGGAATCTTAATATCTGACAAAAAAATCAAAAACAAGAGTAGCAAACATCCTTAATATTGGTGAATAGTGTCAATTTGCACGACACAGCAAGTAAAATAATCATTCTTAAAGGCATTACAGCACATAACCTTTTTCTTAAATGGCAAAAAAAACATTAAAAAATAACATTAAGCTACTACTGACATTCACATTTCTAAGGGTACAATAGTCAATACATATACAATATCGTACAGTGTAGGAAAATATAAAATTTATTTGATGAGCTATTGAAACAGAGAAAAGTGAGGCTTGCCAAGCTTTTCTTCCGTTTTGTTGCGAGTACAAATACAATTTGTACGGAGTTTGTTTTTACCCTGCAACATTGAGCTAATAAACGTATAGATTTTTTTCCCATCCAAATCATTGTTCAAAGAAATCAACATTACTTAAGGTCATATAAAACTTCAAATTTAAAAAAAAGTTAAATATGTTTTGTATACTTGAATGGCTAAATTTTACTATAAAACAAGTGTACTTGAACTTTCTTGTAAAAGAAAAAATAAATGGGGAATGTGTCCATGGGACACAGATGATGCCCCTGATTGCATATCATATAAAGTTATAAAGGGACATAACTGAAGAATGGTAAAAGTAACACTACCCAAATTTGTACTTGATCTGAGTTTTGTGGTAATAAATATTGTGTATAAGTTTCATAACATTTGGTTGAGGCAAACTTAAGTTACAGAACGACAATGAAGAATTCAGCAATTTTTCCCTTTGTAAAGGGGCATAACTCTGGAGCAGTATAAGCGACACCACCAAAATTCAAACTTGATCTGTATTTTGTGGTAATAAGCATTATGTATAAGTTTCATAACATTTGGTTGAGGCAAACTAAAGTTACAGAACGGAAACGAAAAATTCAGCAATTTTTCCATTTGTAACTGGGCATAACTCTAGAACGGTTAAAGTGACGCCACCAAAATTCAAATTTGATCTGTGTTTTGTGGTAATAAGCATTGTGCATAAGTTTCATAACATTTAGTCGAGGCAAACTAAGTCTAAAGTTAGAGAACGGAAACCAACTTTGGGACGTACGGATGTACGTACGTACAGACGGACAAGGGTATAACTTAATGCCCCCTCCGCTACGACGGGGACATAAAAATCCTTTATATTATTAAAATCTTCATAAATGTACTGCTAATGAATTATTTTTTTCTTGTACACTAATTTGCCGATATTTTCCTGTATGAAGTGACCTTAACTACAAGACCTCTCGTTAGAACTTCGTCTACTGCACAGCGCTGGTGCGAGGGGAAAACCGTGATGACAGAATGCAAATAAACGTGCACTTGAGGGTAAATAATAATAACTGATTCTTAAAAAACAAATTTAGTAAAACAAATCATTAACAAACTGTTAAGGAAAAGTTTAATTGACAAATTGGAACGAATGGAAAATATAAAAAACAAGAATGTGTCCATAGTAGTGATCAACAATCACTAAATGAAATATCATTTGTCGATAATACATTACAGATGTGTAATAGAAATAAACAAGAATGTGTACATAGTACATGGATGCCCCACTGGCACTATCATTTTCTATGTTCAGTGGACTGTGAAATTGGGGTCAAAACTCTAATTTGGCATTAAAATTAGAAAGATCATATCATTGGGAACATGTGTACTAAGTTTCAAGTTGATTGGACTTCAACTATCATTGATGGGCAGACTACACGAATGAATTTTATTTTTACAGGACATTCGGTCTGGTAAACAACCTAGCTTTACCAGACCGAATGAAATTTTACCAGGCCAATTTTTTTAAACTTATGACTTGTTGTGCCCTACTCCTCTCCAAATTGCACAAAAACAAAATCATGTGACAAGGGTGTATATTTTGATGAAAGTTGTGAACAATTGCTTGAATGCATTTCAGTGATAAAGAAAAGTAATGTCACATTTTATTGGATTTTGATGTGAAAATTTTTTGTGAACTAAAAATAATTTAGAGTTTCTGTATAAAATATTTCCTGTATCTTCTTCATTTTTCATATATCTTTTGGTTTTCAATTCTAGTGTTTATATTTCATAGCTGTATTTTGTGAACCTGCTTGGATTTTTTAAAATTTATTTATTGTATTTGATCGGCAAACACGGAATTGGCCTTACCCCATAGTTGCCAAGTGACATGATATTCGCGTGTGATACACGCTTTTTCAACGGTTTACACGCGAGGATTTTGTCACATGGCGTGTACACGCTTTTCACCACTTTACACGCAATTACACGCATTTTCGTTATTTTGATTTTTTGGTCGTCAGTGATATCGCGATTCTTTGGTTTTTCCGTTATTAGACGATAAATACCGAGAATTCCGAAGTAATTGTTTGGTCGCCATTGTTTTCAATTCTATCATGATGGACGAACAGCAAAACCCTTTAAGGTAAGTAGTTTGTGATTAATTTTTACGATTTTGTGACAATCTTTCTTTCAAATTAACTTAGGGGAAATGTCCACAGAAAGAGGTCGCTTTCAGGGCCTGTACCGTCGTTTATAGATAAGATTGCTAAGCGAAAACGATGTGTACGTACCAAGATTCAAGATTTATAAGTTTAAATGACCAAGGGACAAGTAACGCATAATTTGTGCACCCTATGTTGCAATCATAACACTACATGTGAGAGGAGAACAACAATGTAGCTATTTGATTAGGCATTTAACATGTTTAATCAATAATGGACTCATTTTGGTAATCAAATTATAAAATATTTTTCTTTTCCAGTTTCAAATCTGGCCAACAGATTTCAACAGGTCATTGGAGATGGAAATATCACTGAACTGTTGGATCAGTTCTCATAGTACCAGCTGTCTTCTGATGAACTACCCAGTCTTGACCAGGCAATAGCAACATGTATAGCTTGTTGGAAGCAAAGGCAGTGATTAAAGATGACATTTTAGATGGCAAAAAAATTGTTATGACACTTGTTCAAAGCTTGATAAAGCTATTTTAGTTCAGCCATATACCAATTCTGACTGTGAGAGAGCATTTTCAATTATAAATAAATTTACACTGAATTCTGATCAGAACTTGACAATTGTGCCTTGTTATCAAGTAAATGTAACCAAACTGGCAGTTGTTTTGAATATATATCTGCCTAGTGATGTTGCTTCAAAAGCAACAGTTGAATTCAATAAAAGTTTACAGTAGACTCTTGTTTATTATATTGACAAATTTGTATAATGATTACTGTGAAATTATGAACATTGTTCATATGAAAAAGTCTGCATCTACGTCACACGTTTTCACACGCTTTTTAACATGTCATGTCATGTCATGACATGATTTCTCATTGTCAGAGGTTGGCAAGTATGCCTTACCCGTTCCCGGAATCGGATCCGATATTGTCTATATTTCCGGTTGATGGCAGCCATTGTTGTTTTTGGTCAGATATGTTTTACTCAGATTTACAAATTACTTGTTGGCGATTTTCGGCATAAAGCTAGAGGTTGAACAAAATAAACATTGCTATCATGAATAATAAAGATGAAAATGAATTTTGAGATCGTTTGGAAATTTTGCTCCCAAAATTGGGAAAATTGTAGGGTTTTTAGAAAAATCCATGAAAAAAACAACACCGGACATTCAGACCGGAATTCAACAAAATTTTACCAGACTGATCCATTATTCAGTGGATTTGTCCAACGGTCCGACGAATTTTGTGTCGTCTGGGTGGGGCATACAGGACTTAGTTTAGTATATATGCATGCATTGGTTCAATAATTTTGACAACATTAAAATTTACAAGAAACCTCAATTCATATGACTCTAAACGAGGACCACAATTAGGACCCCACATTGAGCTGTAATGTAAACAGTAATTTGAACATAACAGCAACAGAAGCAGGATACCAGGAGACTGTAAACGTTTAGTTTATGTTAATCGGATCATGTTGTCTGCCACTTGTATTTGTATAGTAGAAAAGCTGATTGCAGGATAAAACAGACTATTGCATACCTTCTAGCAAATATATAATGTGGCTTAGTAATACATATAGAAAAGAACCAAATTATTGGGGTGGGAAATGAATTCTGTTAAAATGTATGTAACCTAATAAATCAAGGCCATATTCAATCTGAATAAGGAATATTTGGTATCATTACACACTTGGCCTGTACCACAATTTTTTACTGAGGGCTGTTCCATTAAAACAGACATTGTACCTAGGGAAGGCACTTTAAAAATGGGGTAACCACCTATAGAGGAAAATTAAAATTTCACTTACATTTCCACTATGCAAAAACATATATGACACCCACCCATCACTGAGATTTGAAAGTGCCTTCCCTGGGTCCCATGTATGTTTTTATGGAACAGCCCTGACCATTTGCATTAACAAAAGTATCTTATGGGGCAAACTTGAGAGGACTACTTTAACTTGTCTGCAGCAACTTGAAATTCAATTCTTCAGAATATTTTGCTGATTTTTCAAAATTCTGGTACATTATTACTTCTGGCATCTTGAAGCTCCTCGCCCCCCCCAAAAAAAAAACTAAAAAAAAAACAAGTGAAACCAAATTTTAGAAATCCTTGTAATGTAGTTTCTGAGAAAGATGCGATGAAAAATATTCATGGGACAGATAGAAAGAGGTAAAACAGTATACTGCCACTTTTTTAAAGCGGGGGTATAACAAACCCAAAGAACATTTCAGAAATAAAACCTATTTTTCTTAAATGCTGACCTTACAAAAAAAATAAGTTTGAGACCACTGATAACATGAGGCAAAAAAAAGATCTTTCCCTAGTGCCTTCTGTCACATACTTACGAATACACATCCCCATGTTTAGTCCCCTGTTTAACACCATCAATATTTTTGCAGCCTGGCAACATTTCTGGGGCGGTCCAAAACAATGAGCTGAAAAAGAAAAAGAAAATTGTCAAATTATTCAAATATGAGAAATGATGTTAGAACCAAAAAATTTAAAAGATCTGGCAAAATCTAAAATATGGCTGCAGTTCTGGTGTTAGAAAGTTTGAAAATTGATATTGGAGAGCTGGAATGGACTTTTAATATCCCTCCATAACCAACTTACTTACATTATGTAATTTTGCATACATCATATGTATAGACCCGTGTCTAAAAACTGAACCCCCTTCCTACCCTTACAAATTCAGTTTGATGGAATAATATCTGTGGCGGATCCATGAGGGGGTGGGTTCTGGGGGTTGGAACCCCCCCTTTTTTTTGACAATCAATGCTTTTGAATGCGGACATATGGTTGGATCCGCCCCTGATATTTATGCATGATTTTGTAGAAAGTTGGAAGGCACTTTTTATTCAACCCCACCATGCATGAAATTTTATTTTATTATTTAACATAATTGTTAAGACTATCTGTCTAAAATAACCACCACCCATCAAATTTTAATGAAAGTGCCTTCCGACTCCCCTATTCAATTAATTCTGGAAAAGCCAGTAGCACAAATATATTTATTGTGTAAATATAATATAACATAAAATAATGTTTAATATTAATTAGAACAATTATTTTTTTTATGAAAAATTAAGTTATCAATTATATATAAAAATGGACAAAATCAATTTACTAGTGGAAAGTATTAAAATAAAACTATTAAAAAAAATTATTCCTATAGTAAACTCTATTTTCTCGTTTGAATTGTTTTACATTGTCATTTCAGGGCCTTTTATAGCTGACTGTGCGGTATGAGCTTTGCTCATTGTTGAAGGCCGTACAGTGACCTATAGTTGTTAATTTCTGTGTCATTTGGTCTCTTGTGGAGATTTGTCTCATTGGCAATCATACCACATCTTCTTTTTTTATATCTATGAACAAATTAAAACAAACTTTAATTTCTTTTCATTCTCATCATCATCAGGTAACTTCTTTCTAGGTCCATTGTATCTGAGACTAGGTAATCCGAATCCTAAAAAACACGGAAAATTTGGTAGGATATTGTAAAACTATACTATACTTTACCTGAGGACATGTCCAATAAAATAAACTAAAGCAAAAAGGAGTAAGTTCATGAAGGATTAAAATTAGCCTCAATATTTTAATGATTTAGATGATCAGGCCAAAATACTACAAACTTCACATAGAAATAGTTTTGATACATATATTAATACAAAATAACTTCATTTTAGCACATCACATTAAAAAAGATGAAGTATTGACTCCTTAAGTATGCATTTTAGGATAATTTACTTTGGCCGCCACCCATGATCCAGAAAGTTTTTGTGTCTAGGAATTCAATATCATCATTGAAAACTTTTGGTTACAGAACATTTTGGATCCTAGTGTGCGGCCAATTGTTGCCTCAAGCGTTTAGGTCCTAAAAAACGCACAAAGTCATCGTATTTTGACAATATATCCAAAATGTGCTGATTTTGAAGTCAAGAATGTACTCTTATGAAGAAATTTATTTTAGCAATAAAGGAAGGCTTTTGAAATAGATCTATTTAAGAACCAAATTATGGCCATTTTGAAATTTTATGATAAAGTTGAAATTCAAGGCCATATTTGGCCTATAGTAAACCCATATCCTTTGTCATTCTGTCTAAGCTGATGTCCAAAAACCTCCTAGCACTTAAATTTTGAAAATTTCAATTGATGATTGTTAAAATTCATGTTTTTGGGGCCACCTGATTTTAACAAAAAATCTGTGGGTATTGAATATGCAATTCAAGGTATCTGGGGTGTCTTCCTCCATCTTGGATTTTGAAGTAGCAGATAACAATTGGTCTAGATCTTTAATGAAATGTGCAAATTTTTAGAGTAGTATGTAATTCATATGCAAGACTTTTCATGTTAATATAGAAAATTATGTTTTATCATTTTTACGGCTGTATTTTCTAAAAGACATTATTTTTTTTCAACTTTGCCATATAAGGGGAGATAACTCAGATAAAGTAATTTTTATAATAGAAAGTAATGTGAATTTACCTATTTTAATATGTAGCAAGAAAACAAGTCAGGTGACCCCATTTTTTCTTTTTCTTATCTGAAAGCAGGTTATAAGAGCATCTTCTCACATTTTATCTTAAAATTCTATGGTGTAGTTTTCTTTTTATCACACAAAATTGGATTTTCCATGCATAATCTATACAAAATCTGACAATTTTGCACAACAAAAAGTCCGGTGACCAATACTTTTTATTATATTTTAGAAAAAAGCATGATAAAAACTACATTTTGACAAATTATCAAAATATTCTATGAATTTTAATTAAGACCCCCCATCCACCTTAATGCTCTAGGTGTAATACCACCATATCATAGTACGTCACATCCGGTTTCATAGGAAAAAGGGTAGAAAAAAAATATTCCCTTGATTTTGACAGTTGTAGGAAATTAACTCTGTATTTCATTGCAGAAAAAAATTCCTGAGTCATAAACATACATCTTGGGTGTTTAAAAGCACCATTCTTTTTTTATTTGTTGTTTCTATAAAATATTTTGGAAACTTCAGGTGACATGGTTACTAAAGCTTGTTAACAGGAAAAAAAGGGGTGATAAGTTCATTGGTTTATTTCCGGTGATGGTTATTATCTTATATGCAATGGAATGTTATGTGAAATTTTCACTGTAGTACTGGACACGATAAAACTTTACTCATGCCAAGTATTTCTTTATTTGAAACAAATATAAATTCTGCACAATGTTTTGAAAAGTGCCAATTTAACAAAGACTAATATGGGAAAATCGATGGTGGTATTATTCCTATACCGACCGTAGGAAAAAGTTGTTTGACATAAACTATGGACCTATTGTGAAATTCATCAATTTACATACCTGATATTTTACAGGTAATTTACATACCTGATATTTTACAGGTCCATCTATTATCTACCAGACAATTTGATGTCTTGAGTCTACCATGGGAATGTATCTCTGATAAGTGGAGGAAGTGCATTCCACGACAGATGTCTTTTAGTAAGGAGAATTTAAAGTCCCATCCGAGTTTAACATTGTCATTGGATAAAAGATCTTCTAAGCTTCCCTGGGAAAAAAAATATAAAAAATTGATGTCTGCATTAATGCAATCTTACAAGTATTACAAATATCATGAACAGCAAACAGATACAGCCAGAATTCTGTTGACTACATATATGACATAACTGTTATGAAAAATTTAAAAGGAATTGTTTAAGTGACATTTGACTTACCTCAGTAACCTATCAAATTCAGAAATTTTTTAGATGTTTTTATTATAGCAATGAGGTACACGAAGTTGTCACAAAAATAGACTCGCATTTTATATTTTGATAGCATTATTTGAATGCAGAATTTCCTGAAAAAGCAATAATTAATCGTGCATTTCTGTTTATTGTTTTACAATCACAAGAATAAATGCACTCTGCCAATAAGTTGTTAATTTACATGATATATATATTTTTTGGCCTTATGGACTGGAGACCTGTTTTGTAATCATTTTTTTGTGTCAGCAAATAGCTTCAAAAACATCTTAGTAACATGTCTAAAACCTAAGTGTGGTAATAGTTATTACTGCCTTAAAACAAATTTGTATACAATTTTGATTTCTTACACGCCATGAAAGAAAAAGGATCACGAGACTGACACCACAAGTGTACACAAAATACATGTACAACCAATTGTAAATGTAATTGTAAATATACAGGTACCTATGTATCTTAAGACATTTTGTATGCATTTAATACCATTATACATGCCTATTTCTATGCACCAAATACCTACCTTTGGTGTAACTTCTGTTAGTAGACATTTCAATAGATTATTTTCATATTACCAACTTATGAATCTGGGAGTATATAATTTTTCAAAGGTTACCTACTCTGTGGCAGGACATTCTGGTACCTGATGAAGTACGAGGAATTTTAAGAAGTAAAATCAACCTATAATCGGTGCTAATTTGGGGAACAAGTGCCAGTCTTTGTAAGGATCAGGCAATTTTGAAAAAAACATCAAAACATCGCCGAAAAAAAACCCACTGACCTAACCATCCTTTTTTGAAGTTACCCTCATCTTGAGTTAGAAATGGTAGGTCTTTTGTTTCTGCATGTCTGGTAATTCGAGAAATCTCTTTTTTAATTTTGGTTAGATTAATAGCAAATTACGGAGTTAGCTCCCCTTAATATTTAGTTTTTGTGCATTTCAACCAAATTATATCTTGAATTACCAGAACAGAAAAAGGAAACGAATGTTATATTCTTACACCATATACATTCTGAACATAAATTAATGTCAACTTGAGTGGGTTTTTGTTTGTCATGTTTTCATCACTGCCTGATTCTTAGGCAGATTGGCACTTAATGTTTTCAATTGATTTTGTTGTATATAGTAAACATAAAACAATAAATTTTTTTCACAAACTGCATGGATTGTAAGCTTGATTTTACTTCTTTTAGTTGCTCTTACTTGAACTTGTACCAGAATGTCCCACCATAGATTTGGTAATCTAGTGAAAAATTATTTACTGGAGAGTCATAAGTCAGTAATATGAAAATAGACAGTCGATTGCCTACACTACTCAACTCTTACCTTTGGTGTAACTTCTGTCAGTACACACACATTAGGATATTCCAAACAGGCACCAACAAACTGAACCAAGTTGTTATGACGTAATTCTCTTATGGTGACAACTTCCATTCTAAGATTTTCATCTTCCACTGACAAAGTATCACAGTTAAATTTCTAAAAAGATATAAATATGCAGAACTGATATTCACATAAAAAGTCAAAACTCTAATATTGATTAATTCAAAGTTAAAGAGATTCACAATAATTAAGGGCTGTTCCATTAAAACATACATGGTACCCAGGTAAGGCACTTTACGAATGGGGTAACCACCTATAGAGGCAAATTAAAATTTCACTTACATTTCCACTATCCAAAAACATAGATGACATCCATTCATAGTTGAGATTTGGAAGTGTCTTCCCTGGGTCCCATGTATGTTTTTATGGAACAGCCCTAACTATTTAACTAAGGACTGCATCTAAATTGTGACTTATGAACCATGTGCCTTACTTTTGAATAAGGGTAATTCTATAAATAAATATTTAAGTCTATTAATTGCTGCTGTGACCTTGACCATTGACCCTCATAATCAAAAGATGTCTTTTTTTATGCCAAAGCACATAATGCAAAGATTGGTAAATATTATGGCTCAAAACATATTGTCTTGAAATTTTTTTCCATAAAATTTAACTTTAGTCTTGTTCTTTTCAATGGGCACAAGTACTGGTGTATATTTGCCCCAATTAAAGTTGTTCAAGAGCATTAGTTCATTAATTACCATTACAATGAATATACTTCTGCAACATGTCAAGATTATTTATCTATGTCATTCTGTGGAATTTAATGACTGCAAGTGAAACAATTCAGGCTTGGAAACATGCAAAAGTCAGAAAGAAAAACCAAATTTTTGGTGTCAGAGGGGAGGTTGAATTGACAAACCCAAGGCAAGTAAGAATTCCAGAAGGGCTTAAAACAAAATAATACATCTACAATTCAATGGAGTCTTTAGAAGATGAAGACCAGAATAGGTAATGTTAAATTTGAGGACCAAGGTAAGTAAAAATTTATTTTTAAATAAATGGGGAATGTGTCCATGGGACACAGATGATGCCCCCGCTTATATATAACGTTATAAAGGAACATAACTCAAGAACTGTAAATTGACGCTACCCAAATTTGTACTTGATCTGAGTTTTGTGGCATAAGCATTGTTTATTGGTTTCATAACATTTAGTTGAGGCAAACTTAAGTTAGAGAATGGAAACGAAAATTTCAGCAATTTTTTCATTTGTAAAGGGGCATAACTCTAGAAGAGTAAATGTGATGCCACCAAAATCCAAACATGATCCGTGTTTTGTGGTAATTGGCATTGTGCATAAGTTGCATAACATTTAGTTGAGGCAAACTAAGTGAGAAAACAGAAACGATTTATTTCAGCAATTTTTTTCATTTGTAAAGGGGCATTACTCTAGAACGGTAAAAGTGACGCCACCAAAATTCTAACTTGATCTGTGTTTTGTGGTAATAAGCATTATGTATAAGTTTCATAACATTTGGTTGAGGCAAACTAAAGTTAGAGAACGGAAACCAATTTTGGGACGTACGGACAAGGGTAAAACTTAATGCCCCTCCGCTACAGCAGGGTCATAAAAATAGGAATTTTATGAATTCTTTTTCTGATATGGCTTTTACCTGAACATAACACTTCTGACTTCTCCATGTGCACATATTACTTTTAGCAGATGTGGCAAAATCATCACCAGCTGTAGACATAATACTCATAGCTCTGGTGTCACCCACAACAACTTCATCCCATTTTACTAGCCAATCTAAGTTCTTCAAAGCTTGTTGTAAATGATATCTAAAGTATAAAGAAATACATTGCAACATTATATAATCAAGGACCCCGACAGTGTCATTCACATACTGCGAAAACAAAGTAAAATTTACTTAATTCTTCAACCATTTCTTTTGGATTTTTAAAAATGGCATATTTGTTAATGTAGCCTCTGCAGTTATGTCTCTGATTTAGACTGCCATATTGGTTTGTGGACAGAGACAAAATTCGTAAATTATTTAGCAGATGCCCTATTGAAGGTAAACATGTTAATCTCCAAGTTTGGATGAATTTTGGCCAGTACTTTTAGAGGAGAAAACCGTTTTTTAAAGTAGAATAAAAGATGACTGATGCCAAGTAAGGGCTATTCCATTAAAATGTATGTGGGAGGGTAGGAAGGGAAGTTTAATTATTGAATGTGGGTCATGGGTCTTTTTTCAGTATGCTTCTATTACCATTATGCAAAATTATTTAAAAAATGGTTCTTGGTTGTAGGGATATTTTGAAAGTCCCTTCCTACCCTCCCACATACATTTTAATGGAATAGCCCTAACGGAAACATTTCAAATGAATCAAATAACTAAAAACCAACCAATCAATCAACTTGTTTACCTTATTTTTATTGGTGTATTTGAAATTTAAGACACTTATAAATATAATTTCATTGTATTATCTTATAGTAACAAGAGCAGAAAAGTTAAAGACTATTTAACAAGTTAGGTTTTGAAATATCCTTACCTTTTTAATAACCATCTGATGAGGAAGATCAATAATATAATAAATATTATAAAACATAATATTGGAATGATAGTCACAACATATATTGACTGGTTACACTGTGATCCAACTGATCCTGAGTTACATTCACAGGTATCTGGTCCCGAACATACACCATCTCCACAGTCAAAACTGAAAAGAGACAAAACAAATGCTTATTTAAATAAAGAATCTCTCTGTATCTGGCCTTAAACATACACCATCCTCTCCAGTCAAAACTGAAAAAAGACAAAACAAATGCTTATTTAAATAAAGAATCTCTCTGTATCTGGCCCCAAACATACACCATCTCCACAGTCAAAACTGAAAAAAAAGACAAAACAAATGCTTATTTAAATAAAGAATCTCTCTGTATCTGGCCCCAAACATACACCATCACCACAGTCAAAACTGAAAAAAAAAGACAAAACAAATGATTACCGTTCCTACTCGCTTATTAGTCGGAAAATTGGGAGTAAAATTCATAATCCAGAGAGGGGGACCGACTAATAGACGAGATCTAGCGACCAGAGGAAAAATCCAAGCTTGAGAAAAGTGGTCAGGAGTGAATTTCCTGGTCAAAACTACGTTTTTGATTGCCAAACCTACATAGATCAATAAATAAAAAGTTTTTGTTGAAAATAAATGACTACAATACTGTCTTTGTGTTTTATTTGTTCTTTGGTAAACATTTTCTGCAAATTCGTGTTGAAATTCTACTGTTTCCGGTTTGTGTATTGATTTTCATGGTCATATGGTTTTCCTATAAACCCAAAAGAAGAGCCAAGAACCAAAAATGAAAAGGAGATAACAATGTACCAAATATGTGAAAGGATGTTTTCAGCGAAGTTATTGTGTCATTATTGTGATATCATGATATCAATCCAATGCTCATAAATCATATAATAATAAAAAAATAATTTTAAGATTCATTCCCAAAATCAAAATATTATTCATTAAAGTGTCTCAGGTAAACAAAAATTACAAAATTGATTGACAAGCCAATATAATCCATTGATAACCCCAATTAAGAGACAAAGAGTTGTGTTTACTAAAGGTGTGAAAACTATCAGTGATAGGTAAACAGATGACACTAATGAGTTGGAGTTAGTTATTTTAATATATTGATAAGCTTCACTTAATTTTTTTAATCCTTTAATCATCACAATATAATAAGAATTATGAAGTGTACATGCTCATTTAACACTGAGTTATGTATGCTGTGAAAAATATTTTCATCAAGTGTTGATTGACTTTAAATTTTTCAGGTTCATATTGGTCTATATTCGCTTTTCTCAAACAATAGGTTGTTAGTCATACCCTACAAAATCATTGATGCATTACGTAAACAAAACATGGCTAATCTAACATTTGAACAGTGAACAAAACAAGAGAAATGAATACATCTTTATTATTAACAGCAATATAAATTATCATGATGAGCATCAACTAAATTCAAACCAAACATTAATGCAGAAATGAATATTATTCCTGGATTTGCATTGGTTCTACCGGCGTTCAGTTACTGTCAGCTGAAAAAAAAATGCCCAAATTTTGTCCGACTTATACGAGGGTCAAGACTAAATCCTTAGAATTTGGAGCTGAAAAGGGCCCCCGACTTATAGTAGGATCGACTATTAAGCGAGTTTATACGGTATTTAAATAAAAAATCTCTCTGTATCTGGCCCCAAACATACACCATCTCCACAGTCAAAATTGAAAAAAGACAAAACAAATGCTTATTTAAATAAAGAATCTCTCTGTATCTGGCCCCAAACATACACCATATCCACAGTCAAAACTGAAAAAAGACAAAACAAATGCTTATCTAAATAAAGAATCTCTCTGTATCTGGCCTCAAACATACACCATCTCCAGAGTCAAAATTGAAAAAAGACAAAACAAATGCTTATTTAAATAAAGAATCTCTCTGTATCTGGCCTCAAACATTCACCATATCCACTGTCAAAATTGAAAAAAAGACAAAACAAATGCTTATTTAAATAAAGAATCTCTCTGTATCTGGCCCCAAACATACTCCATATCCACTGTCAAAATTGAAAAAAGACAAAACAAATGCTTATTTAAATAAAGAATCTCTCTGTATCTGGCCCCAAACATACACCATCTCCACAGTCAAAACTGAAAAAAAAGACAAAACAAATGCTTATTTAAATAAAGAATCTCTCTGTAAATGGCCCCAAACATACACCATATCCACAGTCAAAACTGAAAAAAGACAAATCAAATGATTATCTAAATAAAGAATCTCTCTGTATCTGGCCTCAAACATACACCATCTCCAGAGTCAAAATTGAAAAAAGACAAAACAAATGCTTATTTAAATAAAGAATCTCTCCTTATCTGGCCTCAAACATACACCATCTCCACAGACAAAACTGAAAAAAGACAAAACAAATGCTTATTTAAATAATGAATCTCTCTGTATCTGGCCCCAAACATACACCATCTCTACAGACAAAATTGAAAAAAGACAAAACAAATGCTTATTTAAATTAAAGAACCTTAGTGAGCGTGCTCACATACCCCACGTCCCCACATTGTCATTGGAGAAATAAAATATGTGTAAGAAAAAAAAATTGTATAAGAAAAAAATATAATCATAATTTCCTGTCAATATGCCCATCTACATAGTATGTCCTTATTATCTACAAAGTTTCATGAAATTATGTTGTGTGGTTTCAGAGGAGTTGCGATGACAAACTGTTGCAGAAGTACATTAAAGCAAATAAGTTCAAAGGGGCGCAACTCCTAGAAAAAAAATTGAATCATAATTTCCTGTCGATATGCACATCTACATAGTATGTCCTTATTATCTAAAAAGGTTTCATGAAATTCTGTTGTGTGGTATCAGAGGAGTTGCGATGACAAACTGTTGCAGTAGTACATTGAAGCAAATAAGTTCAAAGGGGCGTCACTCATAGAAAAAAAATTGAATCGCAATTTCCTGTCGATATGCACAACTACATAGTATGTCCTTATTATCTAAAAAGGTTTCATGAAATTCTGTTGTGTGGTTTGAGAGGAGTTGCGATGACAAGAAACAGGACTGATGGCATGACAGACTGACGGACGGACAGACAGACGGTCAAAAACATTATACCCTCCGCAACTCGTTGCATGGGGTATAATAAAGAATCTCTCTGTATCTGGCCTCAAACATACACCATCTCCACCGACAAAACTGAAAAAAGACAAAACAAATGATTATTTAAATAAAGAATCTCTCTGTATCTGGCCCCAAACATACACCATATCCACAGATAAAACTGAAAAAAGACAAAACAAATGCTTATTTAAATAAAGAATCTCTCTGTATCTGGCCCCAAACATACACCATCTCCACAGCCAAAACTAACTAGCTTGTTGCTAGAATAATATTTTGCAAGTGTAAAATTGCATTAAAAAAGCTACCAGTATTAATGTATTATACACTTACCCACAGATTGGTACTTCACATCTAACTCCGGTCCATCCATTCTCGCACACACATGTATTTGGAATATAACATTGTCCATTTACACAGTTACATGTCATGTGCTGACAGGACAGACCATAGTAACCTTCATCACACCTGAAACATGGACATGAAAAATTTAGGAATACATTGTACTGTGGATTCATTTATTTTCGTCAGTACCAATTTTCATTGATAGTGGAACTGTCAACGTATATTTGTTCCGCCTAACAGAAGTTCCACTGGAAACTTTGTTATAAACAATGTCATAATATCTATTCCTGTTCGAACAAATATTCTATACAATTTATTCCGTTAGGAACATATACTGTAATATTTATTCCTGTGGAAATAATATTCCAGAATATTTTTTCTTTTGGAACTTATATTATGAAGTAACTTCTATTCCGTGACAGAACAATAGTATTTTCGTGGATATTTGATTTCGTGTTTTGTAAATGCTTGCTTAAACCATTAACCTTTAGAAAATTTATTATTCATTGACCATTAAACTCATGGTTTACCTATGTCACAGAATAGAAGTTCCTTCATAATATAAGTTCCAAATGGAAACAGTATGGAATATTATTTCCACTGGAATAAATATTATAGTAAATGTTCCTAACGGAATAAATGGTATAGAATATTTGTTCCAACAGGAACAGATATTATGACATTGTTTATAACAAAGTTTCCAGTGGAACTTCTGTTAGGCGGAACAAATATACGTTGACACCCATACCCAAGAAATTGGTATCCCACAAATTATAATGAATCCGGTTTTTTATTGTTTCAAAATTGAGCTTTCAGCATAATCTGTATATATATATTTGCAGTAGTTACTGCATGAATATATATCTTACAAGGCTAAGAAAGATTCAGTCTTGAAAATGGACATTCTCAAATATAATACTATGTTAAAGAGGTTTACAAGTGCTTTTTTAAGTATTTGTTTCCATGCATTTTTATGTTGTTGGTTTTTTTAACAAAGACTTTGATGTTGAAGACAAGATCTTTGATAATCTGTTGAATCCTTGCCTTTTTTTTAATTTCTAATGTTGTAGAAAACCAACTCTGTTAACATAAATGATTGATTGATTGTTGGTGTTAAATGCCACTTTCAGCACTATTAGCTATATCATGACGGCCAGTTTTTATTGGTGGAAGAAGTCTGAATGCCCCAGAGAGAACCAGCATTCATATGGTAGGAAAACTGGTCATCTTAGTGAATTAACCTCAGAGTCAAACTCATAACCTCACAACCTCAGTGTTGTCAGGCTATTAAGATTGCTGTCGATAAACTACTTCGTCCACTATTTAAAGTGAGGGCTATTCCATTAAAATGTATGTGGGAGGGTAGGAAGGGAAGTTTAAATATTGAATGTGGTTCAAGGGGCTTTTTTCAGTATGTGTCTATAACCATTATGCAAAATTATCTAAAAAATGGTTCTTGGTTGTAGGGATATTTTGAATGTCCCTTCCTACCCTCTCACATACATTTTAATGGAATAGCCCTGATCTATAATTCTTGATTAATTTTATACATCTTTTTCAGTTCACCAAAGTTTTGTTTCAAATTTCCCTCGACTGCATAGTCATAGACGATATGTAAAGTGACTTTAGTATGAAGTGGAATCAGTTGAATAAGCCATCTTTCTATGTTGTGATGTTACACTATTGTTTCAGATAAGGGTGACCTTTGGTACCATTAAAACGTTTAAACCCGCTGCAATTGTTTGCACCTGTCCTAAGTCAGGAATCTGATGTTCAGTAGTTGTCGTTTGTTGATGTGGTTCATAAGTGTTTCTCGTTTTTTATATACTGTAAATTCAGAAATTATTGCGATATTTTTATTATTGTGAAAAATGCAACAGGGTTATAATCGCAATAATTTAAACTCGCATTTTGAAATTTTTTATATGAATTAAACAGGATTTTTCTCAATATCACAAAAATTAAAATCGCATTTTAGTCTAAAATGACAAAATCCCAATAATAAATGCACGCAATAATTTCTGAATTTACAGTAGACAAGACCGTTGGTTTTCCCGTTTGAATGGTTTTACACTAGTAATTTTTGGGGCCCTTTATAGCTTGCTGTTTGGTGTGAGCCAAGGCTTCGTGTTGAAGACCGTACTTTGACCTATAATGGTTTACTTTTATAATTTGTGACTTGGATGTAGAGTTGTCTCATTGGCACTCATACCACATCTTCTTATATCTACATATTGCTCAAAATAAAGAAAAGTCAAACTGTAATTAATCCCTCCTTCTGATCACAATTTAGCGTAATACTAAAACTTAACCATAGGAGTCACAGACACACTCACTTGCAAACATTAAAGTGAGAACAGTGACCAAACTGATATAGTGTTATGTCAAAATCATCAGTCTTGTTTCCCCCACACCCTCCTGTACAATAGAAAGGGGCCACACTCTTTTCGATTATTTCTTCTGTTATGGCTGTTCCATTAGCTGATGGCAATTGCTCTAGTTTTAAAGACCATGTTCCAATTCTTCCATGGGAACCATTAAATCTACAAAGTGAGAGTTCATCAATAATTATATTTTTATTGGTCCTGGTCATATAAGTGTATTTATCTAAAATCATAGACGCTGTTAATGAATATAATATAATATAATATGTTGATTATACTACAACCTACATTAATCAAAATATCCACTTGCAAACCAACACATTTTTTAAACCAAACATGAAATCAATCAAGAAAACATGATTTGATGATTTTATGACAAATTTAAGAATGTTGTTTGCCAATTTTATGTGCTTTCTATACATATGTTCACTATTTTGAAAGAATTCCATCAGTCATATTTCAGAAAATAATTATTTTTTTTTTGATTTTCAGTTATGTTATAGTTCCAACAAGCCAAACTAAATTACATGCAAAATTACACTAAAATCTGTGACATAGCCCATTTACTGTTCCTTGACCTTAAAGAGAGTTTTGCACTTTTTTTTTTTCATTGGTTAAAAAAAAATTGACCATGAGGATAAAAAGAGACCAAGAAAGGTTATAGGAAACCAAAGATCTTTTTTGCATGGCCTTATTACAAACAAAATTGATGTCTAGTTGTCAACAAATGTGTTGATATTTACACGATACACTTACAGCCTTAAGTTTGTATATTTTGTGTATGCTATGGTATAGTTCGCTATTTCCATCCCGTATATCAAATCCATTGGACGTTTAGCCTGCATGCTATATTCCCTCTGTGAGGTTGCTGTATCACTTTCCATAAATATCATTCTGGTAAACATGGCTGTCTGTAAAGATATATAACAGTTTTCACGAAATTAACAACAGGCCCACCAGCCTAGGTGATGTAAAATTAATGTCAAGCCTGTGAAAACCAGGTCTTCAGGCCAAAAAAATATAACTACATTTTTTTTGTGGATTCAAAAGTTACATGTGAATACTGATATACCGTATAGCGGGTTATTTTCGCAGGTGTAAAATTTTGCGATTTTCATTGAATAAGGTATACGAAATATTTTAGCGGTTATTTTTTTGGCTTCAAAACTTTTATCAACACCTTTGCATGTACACTTTTAAATTGGCGGAATTTATTTTGGCGATTTTGTGCTATCCGCGAAAATAAGCGAAAATTTACACCCCGCGAAAATAACCCGCTATATGGAAGTTACAGTATTGTTGACACAGAGAGATGTCTCGCCTGTTGGCAGAAAAAGTGAAAAAAGACAATCTGATGGACAGCAATATTTCTAATAAATTCAGTTGCTGGATCATGACCTAGGAGGCAGGGCCTTGAAATAGTTGTCAAACTGATATGCACTGATACTGTATAGGTGATGACTAGACAAGCTATAAGACTGATATTAACCCTTTATGGGTCGTCCCTCTGCCTACATCACTCTGCACAGCTCTAAATAAAATTGCATATCACGGCTTTGTGACGTCAAATACGTTGAATGGCCTTAATAACTTTGACCCAAACATATCAGCGACATCATAATGTATGTACCGATGTTGATAAGTTTGACCCGAAGTTATCAAGTAATCTTCCAGTTCGCTTGTGAAACAAAGAAAACACTTGTTTCTATCATGCAAAATACACAAATACAACCCAATAAATCGATTATCTGGTTGTCTGCATATTTATATTGTAAAATATCAATATACAGACAACCTGATAATCGGTATGTCTTGATGACAAGACAAGCTATAAGACTGATATTAACCCTGATGAGGCCAAAAATAAAATGTGTGGGTTTACTTTCACCGGTTGAAATAAAAACAAGGCTTTCTTCTTTTTATATGATCGGCAAACCCGCAATTGTTGTACTTTAATAGATAATTTATTACATTATGTAAGTGTCCTGATGACGAAACTAGTGGACACAATAAAAGATACCGCAACTTAGATAATGATGATGGATGGCTGCTTAACGTCCAGCGGCAAATTAATATGCATATTCAGGACGAGAACATGTTAATGTAATATGATTATTCACCCTGCTTTGTACTAGACAGACACACTGAGCTGGATTTTAACGTGCTAGTTCACAAGGTAACAGTCCGTAGGAACACATGTCAGCTTACCTGGACACATTTTTCTGACTCCATTCTGACCAATCTTTGCTCTTACCCCTAAATGCTGCGTGCTTAGCGGAGAAGCAGCAAATACCAATTCTAAAGTCTTTGGTTTGACCCCGCCGGGATTCAGTCCACGGCCTCCCGAGGCAGTCAGCAACTTAGTGATAGCCTAAGTGTTGTTGTCTTTGAATCTTCTTGTATATTATTTATCAATACAATATTGTTATCATAAAAAAAAAACTGATAAGTTAAAAAAGTAACCTCTTTCTACACATACTTGTGAAGCAATGACCTATTTCTGTATTCAGCAATCAATTATTCCCGTCAGCATACATTAAATTTAGGTCACTTCTAACCGTGGTGATCAAGTTAAAACTTATATTGTTATAAAGGTTTATAATTATATTCCCCACATCCATGACACATTACAAAAATAGAATCCTTAAACGCATTTTTACAATACTCACAGAGGGTGGAAATGCATTAATATGATCTGGCCAGGAGAATGGATGTGGATTCACATTCACAATGACTCCAATATATCCTGGTCTGTCACCATTTGCATTAAGTTGTAGCTCACCAGTTAAACTCTTTTCCATATACACCTACAAAATTATCAAAATATAATTGTAACACTTCAATCAATCTAAATCTAGAATAAGTTGATTTAGTGATCACAGATGCCCTCGCCTGCATAACTCTTTAAAGATTAAATGGCCACTGTCATTTCTTAAGAGTAGAAATATTGTATCTCACTTGATACAGTGATGGAATCTCAATACATGTATATACCCAATAACAAAAGAAATACATCACCTGCATTAATTGTTATGGACTAAAATTTCTATTGCATATAACTTTTTAAAAAGTTATTCAAATGAGTCAAAATTTTGACACAACTTTTTTGAAGTCATACACACTAAATTCTGTTAAAGTGTTTTTTTTTGGGGGGGGGTCTAATACCCAATTTGAAATTGACTTATCAGATTGAAATCTTCATTGTCGCCATTAAAATTAAAATTTGTTGTGGTGCTTTATTTGTAATGTTATTAAAGTATACATTGGTGGCCTTGGGCTGTTTTGTGCTCTTTGGTCGGGTTGTTGTCTCTTTGACACATTACCCATTTCCATCCCCGTTTTATATACACCTTGTCTTTTGCTTTTTTTTTAAGGAAGGGGAACAAATAAAAAGGTTTCATCAAGCATAGCAGACTACACATAAATCTTTACAATACGTTAAAATCGAGCAACTGGTGTCTTCTTTATTATATGGCAGATAAAACAACAAAATAAATGAAGATTAAAAGTTGTTTTTATTCAAAATTCAACACAAATACAATAATTTACACCTTTTACCTGTTAATTACCTGAAAATGCAGGTAGTTTGATGAAAATTTTACTAAAATAATTGCATAACATTACAGTACATGCTCTCCTGAGCATTTTTCATGCACTAACTTTGTCTGTATCTTTAATAATAAAAAAAGATACAGCAGTCTGAAAAGGAATATAATGTTCTAATGGTCCAAGGACACAATTATCGTCCTTTGGTTTTCGTTGTCTACAAATATAGTTCCTAGTGTGAACAGTGTATAACTTGCATTTTTTTTTGATACACTTTCCCAATTTATTTCTTGATATTTTATGCATGAAATATTGAGTAAGGGGATGAAATTACATGTTAAAAAAGTTTGGGTGCTGAATCTTTATGTTAAGTAGTGATTTGGTCTAGTTAAAAAAGGTCAAAAATTAGAATGTCTGAAGCTGTCAAACTGAATTTTAGCCCCCCTTAACACAGAATTGTCAATATTTTGAGTTAGAGCTGGTAGAAGTTTCTATAATTTTGATATTATTTGTATCAATAGTAGTACACTACACTGAAAAAATCTTTTTGAGATAGAGCAGGTGCGATTTTTTTAATTTGAATTTATTGTCTAAAAGAAATGCACTACGAAATAACTGTGTTCTCGGGCCTAAGAGATGAATTCCGTAAATGTAGATTCTGTACTTTGGCAACTTTCCTGAATGGTTTACTGGTTTCAATTTGTCAAACTCAATAAAAGTAAAGGATTTACATCTTTGTTTGACAGAAATTCTGTTAAAATGTCCCATTTTGGCATTATACGGCTAAAATAAGCATTTTAAAGCAGTTTCCATTTTATGCCTAAGAGCCATGCTGACTTTCTATCTGACAGCTTTTTATGTTCCTGATATTTGTGTTTCTATGCTTAAATCAAATTTAATTAACCATTTGTGAACTTGGAATCTAGAGAAAAGTAGATTATCACAGAAAAAATGTGCAGAATATTTGTATTTATGTCCCTGGTTAAACGGCCTGTTTGATGTATGTGAAATGTGAAGAGCTTTGTACATAAAATCTGTAGTCCATCACAAATATTTCACTAAATCTGTAAAAAAACCACTTTACAATGATCAGTACACCCTATTCATTTCATATGCTACCATAATTTTCTTCTTTAGGATAGTAAGTGGTTCAAATATATGCCAAATGAGACTAAAACTACATGCAAGTTTTCCATTGAAAAGTGAAAAACTGGTCATCAGACCATACTGTCTGCAAAAAAAAGTTGAATTCAAGAGTCCTTTTGCAATTAGACTTCTTGTATCATGACATCTTAGCATAGAAATGAGCAAAAAGTAACAAATTTCAATTTCTTATAGCCTCTGTGTGCATTTTTATATGTAAATATGGGCTACGGCCTAAATCGACTCTAAATAATTCTCAGTCTTACATGGCCTAAGACCATTTTATACTCATGTGGTATGCTTTTTGTAACTTTTCTTTATATTCAAAGTACATTTAATATATATGGAAGAACAGTGTATGGTTAAAAAACTTCAAATTGGTTGAAAAAAATGCATGTTTATGTAAGGCTTCCCTTAATTCGAAAATCTCTATTTTCAGGCACAGGCTCATATAAATTTGACTTTTGAATAACTGTAATAAATCTGATAAATCAAATGAGTGTTCCGTTGCTTTTAATACTTATTATATTAAATTCAAGAGTATTTAAAAAGCAAATTTTTGCAATATTTAAATTTTTTAGGCCAAAATCTTGACAGTTGAAAATATTTGATTTAAACGTCAAAAATAAACATCCAAATTTCAATATTAAAATGGCCCTAGTTTCTATAATATATATCCTATGGCCATGAAACTTGGCCAACTATCTTATAATTGCCTAAGCTTAGGTCATGCCAAGTTTTATTAAAATTGGTCAAGTCTTTCTATCCTATTAGGTCCAAGGACACAATTATCGTCCTTTGGTTTTCGTTGTCTACAAATATAGTTCCTAGTGTGAACAGTGTATAACTTGCATTTTTTTTTGATACACTTTCCCAATTTATTTCTTGATATTTTATGCATGAAATATTGAGTAAGGGGATGAAATTACATGTTAAAAAAGTTTGGGTGCTGAATCTTTATGTTAAGTAGTGATTTGGTCTAGTTAAAAAAGGTCAAAAATTAGAATGTCTGAAGCTGTCAAACTGAATTTTAGCCCCCCTTAACACAGAATTGTCAATATTTTGAGTTAGAGCTGGTAGAAGTTTCTATAATTTTGATATTATTTGTATCAATAGTAGTACACTACACTGAAAAAATCTTTTTGAGATAGAGCAGGTGCGATTTTTTTAATTTGAATTTATTGTCTAAAAGAAATGCACTACGAAATAACTGTGTTCTCGGGCCTAATGAATGAACACAAAAAAAATGCAGCAGCAGCAGCCATTTTTCTATTTTTTTGTGTAGCGTTGAAAGGGTTAAAAATTCTTCAATGGTGATATTTATATATGAAGGTCTTGATGGGGTCCTTCATTTCTGTATTCTTTAAATTTTTTTGTCATTTTTCTCTATTCTTTATATTTTAAAACCTAATTATTTTCTATTTTTTGTTTTTTTGGGGTTTTTTGCTCTTTAATTTTTTTTTGGCAAATTTTTCTGTATTATTGGTGCATTATTCTCTAACCTTTATACCCCATCCAGATCCTCATATCAGTGGAAAGATTCTTCAAAACTTTTCCTTCATATAGAAAACCTTCTTACCCTCTATGGAACATAACGTTCCAAATAAATGCAATTAGATTCTATAAATACTTTTCTTACATTTCTTATTTCCGTTGTAAGTCTTGGTCCTGTTATAGTCATTGATTCATTAATCAATTTTGACATGGCAATTCCAAACATTTGGACAGCATCATATGCTAAGGAATATTCAGCAAGAATCTGAAATAAAAATAAACAAAATTAGAAATAGAACCTGTCTTGCCTCAGGATGATTCCATGAACAACAAGTGAAATTGCGAGCTACTGCTCACTGATGATACCCCGCTGCCACTGGATAATTTTAATAGTGTAAAAATATGTAAGTGTTCGGTAAACAGGAAGTTGTTGAGTGATGAATCTGAAAACACATCACACGGTATATATAAACTCTGAAACCAAATTTCAGAAATCCTTATGATGTAGTTCCCGAGAAAGATGCGACGAAAAATATTCATGGGACGGATGGACTGACGGATGGACGGACAGACAGAGGTAAAACAGTATACCCCAACTTTTTTAAAGCGGGGGTATAAATAAATGGAAGGATTGATATTTTTTTCTGTGGTAATAGTGGTGGAAGAAAATACAATACAAATGAAAATAAAAATATTATGGGTGGTGGGGTTTTAAAAAATTGTTGTCCAACCCCCATTCATTTTTCCTGGAATAGCTCTTACACAAAATACCAAGGACCTCTTGATTACTTATGTATTAATGTTCATAAGATGAAAAAAAGTTTAAGTTTCAAAGACACCAGGTTTTATCATATTCTAGAATTTCCAAATTTCCGAAAGTTCAGACTCTGTAGGATAAGCTGTCTCATTGGCAATTATGTCTAATTTTAACATTGTTAAATATAAAACATCTGACAGATGTTTCAAGTAATAATGTTAATATTAAGAAAATTATGAATTAATGTACAAGAAAATAAGTATCCCTAAATATCACAAATTGCCACTAATGAAAAGGAAACAGTATAAAATCTGAAACAAATTTCAAGGATTGTTTCTAGTTGCCATAGTTGGAATAAACTTGGTTTTTTTTTTACTTCAGGTGAATCCTCTGTAGATTTTTTAAAGAACCTCGAATACTTCTATGCTGTAAAGTCAGAAATTATTGCGTTTCCACATGACAGACGAAAATGTGAGAACAATTATTGCCATTAGAGGAAAAGCTGCATACAAATATATGTGTCAGATTCTGAATGCAAGTTATTTTTTGCAATACTCACCCAGTCACATTATTCCCAATAATGAAAACCTCGCAATTATTTCTGAATTAACAGAAGTTGAATATCAGATACTATTTGGTCTTTAGGGCTGTTCCATTAAAACACACATGGTACCTAAGGAAGACACTTTAAAAATGGGGTAACCACCAATAGAGGCAAATCAAAATTTCACTTACATTTCCACTATGCAAAAACAATAGATGACACCCACCCATAGTTGCGATTTGGAAGTGTCTTCCTTGGGTCCCATGTATGATTTTATGGAACAGCCCTTACAATTTTTGGTTCTTATATAAAACTCACTTCAGTGAAAGGCAGTTTAGGAACAGTTCCAAAGTAATCCTTCCTGAAGGCATGACGATGTTTCTCTATCAGGCCTTTCCAAACTGGTGTCTCCATAGTCATATCATATCCCACAATCCAACAGTGGCCACCGACCCAACCTTGTGAACAGGTTATGTTCTTAAATATAGAAATGTGAAAAAATATTTGATTTTAGATTTTCAAGATTTTTATAAATAAATGTACATAACAAGACTAGTTTATAAATGTCAGAAAAATTCCCTTCAGCACCCTGTTCAAAACATGATCTAGTGGTTAAAATTTTTTTCTGATGAATATATCACACAGAATGCACTACATTCTATTGAGTCGTACAACATTTATCAACACCTAGGTTCAATTCTACATTAACCAGCATACATCATATTTCTGCTACAAAGTTCAGCATAATGTGTGAATATCTAGCCTTGCGGTCATAAAAAGTACGCTGAGAATTTCACCAATCAAAATACTGGATTTGGTGTTTCAAGCACAGATTTTGAACTCTTGAGAGAGCCCTGAACTAGGGCAATTACTGAACACAAATACTTGACAATATATAATTATAATAAGTGTATAAATTAGCAGAGAAAATATAACTGTAAACATACTTACCCCCATACATGTTGGACCTTGGTTAGCCCAAGGAAAGGCCCATCCAAATAAACCTAACATGTTCCACTGCCATCCATCTATACCACCCATTCCTTTACTGTAAAATGAATTATCAAATTAAGTTGAGAATACACTGATACCCTGACTATTTTCTATCAGTTTCTTCGTAAAATAAATAATAAAAAGATAGCTTGAAAGAGTTGACTTCCTACACCTGGCTTTCAAGTATAAAACCTATTCCGTCAGCTCATCACTTCTTATTCCTCATTATTTGGTAAATTTCAAAAGTTTGTCAGGGCCTTGTTGGCCAAGTGGTCTAGGTGTTATCTATAATTTACCACTAGCCTGTCAACACTTGAGGTTGTGAGTTAGAACACGGCTCATATCAGTGCCTTTTACTCCAATCTTAATTGACTAGAACTGCCAGTTGACCTGCCTTAGGTTGGTGATTCTCTCCAGGTATTCCAGCTACCTCCACGATACAATTAAAGAGTGCTTAAAGTGGAGTTAAACATCAACAATCAAAATGTTTGTCTACCATTTCAAGTTGTAAGAGCTAGCTGTCCTCTTATGAAAGGGTGTCTCTTATACTCAAAATGAACATTTTTATTTTATGGGCGGTGGGGTCATAAAAGGTCCCATCCATCGCTCCCCCCTTTTGCATTTAATTCTGGAATAGCCCAAGGACATAGAAAGTTTTGCAAGACATTTTCATTATACCTTGTGGATACAACCAGGGACAATCGGTCAGAAAAATACAAATGAATTGGTGGGCCAACATTTATTTTGTTGGTCAGGAATTTTGCACTTGGCACAGACAGAATTAAGTGATTGTGTGTGCAACTTTTTCATTATATGCAATAAAATAAATCTCATAAACAGCAGGACCATGTAAAACTTAACTATTACCGTATAGCGGGTTATTTTTGCGGGGTGTTTATTTTCGCTTATTTTGGCGGATAAACGAAAAATCGTGAAAATAAATTCCGCAAAAAAATTATGCATAAGTTGGGTAGTTTCGAAGTTAACATGGGTAAAGGATTTTGTAAACGATGTATTTTTTCCTGTTGGCAGGTCAGTAACGGTATATGTTAGTTTTAACAAGATAAATGTCAAAGGGCATTGTACATAAATGTATTTTATAAAATGACTTCCAGGTGTGTATACCCTTATTAATAAGTGTTAATTAAAGGTACTCTTATCAGGTAATTACCCTTATTAATTAGTGTCACACTATATAAGAGTTGTAAACACTCATGATAATTTTGTAACCTAATTAGATAGTACATCAAAGGTCCGGTAAATTTCGTAACTAATCAATCGTAATATTTACAACACGTTTGAATACCTGAAACAAATATCTAAGTTAGCGGTATTCTAATGATTAAATGTATCAGAATCTAATCAATAAATAAGACGTCATTCAGGTAAAAAAAAGGTATGTTAACCATAACAATTGACACTTGTTTGTCAAGTTTTACAACTTGTTAACTGCAACAATTTCAGTATCCACCAAAATATTTAATTGGGATTTAAGAATCCACCAAAATAAAAACCGCCAAAATTTTTCGTATACTATGTTGCCCCTAAATCGCGAAATTTTACACCCGCTAAAATAACCCGCTATCTGGTATATACAGGGTTACCAGTTTCATTTAACATAGAACTGTTTTTATTGGTCTTCTGTCAATTTAGCCTTGCTATTAGAAGATTAAGTACTGTGGATTCATTATTTTTCGTTGGATACCAATTTTCGTGGATTTCGTGGGTACAAGTGAACCACGAATTTAAATGTCCAACGAATTACAAATTTTCCATTGGCCTGCATGCAGACTTTGGTAAACCACGAAATTAAATATCCACGAAAGTGTAAGTTTTTCTCAATCCAAGAAAATTGGTACCCACGAAAATAAATGAACCCACAGTATTCAAGATTTGAGACTTACTCAATAGCTTCTCTCATGAAATAATAGCTGACTGGTGGCATAACAAACATCCAGACAATACGACTCCCTGCATCTTTGATCTTCTCTAAGGAACTATTGAAGGCATTAGCTGTGTAAGTCGCTCCCCATACTTTTGGAATTGCTACCTATTTTATAATAAAACAATATGATGTGTCTAATAGACAAGGATGCTCTACTCTCCTTTACAAAAAACACTCCAGAAAAATGTTTGTCCCACTGAATAGTATTGTACTAGAACAAATTTATATATACAGTATGATAGATTATGAAAGATTTCTGAACAAAAATAAAATAAACTGTTAATACAGAGATATGTCTCGCCTATTTGTTATTTTGATAATGCAAATGTTGAAATTAAAATAGCAATACTTTAACATGTAAGTTATGCAAATATTCAAAGTCAATGAACCATGACTGAAGGTACAGGGCTAAACAATCTCCATGGAAATGAGATGTGCCAATGCTAATACAACTGCAAACCATTGACTTTTCATAAGTCATTCCCTTTAAACAAACCTAAACACAAACATCAACTTGTAAACTATGTAAAAATTTCAAAGTCAATGAACCATAATTAGGGGGTGGGGTTATATAATCTCCATGGAAATGAAACTTGCCAATGCCAATACATTTGCATACCAAATATCATTGACCTACCACTAGTGGTTCCCCATAAACTGACCTAATCACAAACTAATACATGTAAACTAAGTAAAGTTTCAAAGTCAACAGACCTTGACTGAGGGGGCGGGGCCAAATAATCTCCATGGTAATGAGATGTGCCAATGCTAATACAACTGCATACCAAATATCATTGACCTACCACTAGTGGTTCACCATGAACTAGACCTAATCACAAACTAATACATTGTTGACGCCGCATACCTATGTCTCGTTTTTTGACTCCGTCAAGGCGAGACAAAAATGGCTAAATCTAACCCTGTGTAAACCTTCTCTCACTACAGTGAGAAAATTTCAGAATTTTTAAAAAACATTGTTACTGATTCACATTTGATAAATCCATTTTAAAATCCAAAGAAACAAATTCCCTGCTCAGCCGCTTTTAAACAAGAGGCTCCTAAGAACCTGATTTGCTCACCTGTCAAAATTTTGCTATCTATAGTTTTTACCTATCTAATACAGTTTCTGAGATAATAGGCAAAAATATGAAATAAGTAAAATAATTATCACTTATAGTAACTATGGTTTTAGAAACAGAGCTATAATATTTCCTTTATATTTGAAACTTCTTTCACATTTTAATCATCACAAATATTCTTACCTCTGCTAAAATTGTTATACCAAACTGTTTGGCCTTCTCAAAGAAAATGGTGTCAATGGTAAAGTCCACAGTCCTTATTATGCTCTGTAATATCAAGAAGACTATTTTAATTCTATGTCATTTACATTCTTTATCTCTCTGTGTATGACTAAATTTTTTTTTCAAAACAGAACAGACCCCTTTCTTCTTATTTTAATGGTTGCTCCCTGATTGTTCTGGTTGAAATTTAAATAAAGTTAGTTCTTCCATGCTTCAATTCCATGTGCATTTACATGTTTGTTTTATCTCTCTTCCTAGCCAAATAAAAAAAAATTTTTTCAAAAAAAAAAACAAAGTTCCCCCTTTTTTTTAGCTAAATAGTTGCTCCCTAATGGTCCTGGCTGGCATTTCAATAAATTTTGTTCACCCTTGCTTCAGAAATTTTGAATAGCAAGACAAAGACAAGCTTAATATGGCATTTTGACAAATGATCTAAATTATAATGGCCTTATCATAAGTCCTACTTTGTCTGTTCTTTCAATTTTCTTTAATACAAGTGTTTTTTTTTTTTACAAACCATATATTTCCATCCTCTGTTTCTACATGACATCATGACACTGTGAGATAGAGATCCCATGTTCCAGGATAATCTGTTGTAATAGGGATAAGAACTCTGAAAGAGGAAAAGTAAGATTATTACTGATTGTAAAAAAGATAAATATAAAGATATATTTAGTTGAAAACTGATTTTGCACCTAGAACTAATTTTATTATAACATTATGTTATCTAAATTAACATGACAAACTTTATATAACACAGCATCACCACTACTTTTTGTTCATGAAATCATTATGAATAAACTGTTAACACAGAGAAATGTCTTGCCTTTCTGTACTTTTGATAATGCAAATGTTGAAATTAAAAAAGCAATACTTTAACATGCAAGTTATGCAAATATTCAAAGTCAATGAAACATGACTGCAGGTACATAGCAAAAAAATCTCCATAGAAATAAGATGTGCCAATGCTAATACAACTGCATACCAAATACCATAGACTTATCATAAGTCATTCCCTTTCAACAAACCTAAACACAAACATTGACTTGTAAACTATGTAAAAGTTTCAAAGTCAATGAACTATGATGAGGGGGTGGGGCTTTATAATCTCCATGGAAATGAGACTTGCAAATGCCAATAAATTTGCATACCAAATATCATTGACTTAACATTGGCGGTTCATCTTAAACTGATTTAATCACAAGCTCATACATGTAAACTAAGCAAAGGTTTCAAAGTCAATAGCAGAGTTCGCGAAAATGGTTGGTCCTGACCGCCAAAATGAGGCTCGGACCTGTATTTTGTACACTTACGGCGGTCCCGATGACCGATGCAAAAACGGCCGATGCAGTGCATCAGTTATCAGATGTATTCGCGGTTAATTTCAAGTTCGTTTTTTTTCATCGGTCTTCAGATGTATCGGGGCTAATATCCGGTACTGGTTCCCTAATTTTATAACAAACCCAATATTAGTTACACATGTGGCCTATCAAATTTGTTAAAGGAGCTGTCCCTGGCAAACGATTGGCGCCAGATACTTCTGATGAAACAAAACAAAATAAAAGAAAGCAGTATGGGTCACTTTTTAAAAGTTACTCTGGGTACATAACTCATCTGCAGAACCAATCCCACAATAATCCAAAAGCAGAGGGACTGGCGAAAATCTTAGCAAGCCTGAATGTTGTGGTGTTTGCTTTGATGTTATATGTAAGCAGAATTTAATTTACCATGGCATTGTAATTTGTTATTTCAAGCTTGTAACTAACATGTCATGTCTGTCTCTGATTTTTAATGAACAGCAAGTAAATTTGGCAATAATCAATTCTAAGTAATATTATAGTATACATGTATTTCTTTAAGACAAAGAACATTACTGTTTTGATCAATGACGTTTAAAATGAAACAACTAACTGCTTCAATCAACATGAACAAGTGTATTGCAGTGACTGATAGTCATGATATATTGTTTTTTATATTTATTTGACTTATTTAATTTTTAGGAAGTGCTTGATCCTCTTTGTCGCCTCTCTCTGACGCTTACAGGCAGATGAATTCACCTTCAGGAGCTATTCTGTTGGTCTTGTCAACAAAGGATGCCTTAGCTCAACTACAGGGCCAGTATGTAGTTTATGATTGTTGTCCCTTTTCTATATTTATTTTTGTCCAATTTCAGTTCAAAGCAAGACATTTTATTTTTTATGAAATCAGTTGAGTTCAACATTGTATTTAAAAGCATCATGTTCATGTTTGAAAAACAATAATTGTGGCATGTATCCCATAGAAAGAGTAAATATAGTATAATATCAATTCATCTTTTTAAAGGAAATCTGATAAAATGGTAAAGGTGATCGAGAGTAAAAGATTCATGGGGTATACATTGACATCTAGGGGTTTTATTTCCGTTGATAACACCAAACTCATAGACAACATATTGACTGCAATAAATACCAGATTTAGTGATGTCCTGCAAGAAGATCTGGAGCCAACAGTGATAAGCGCATTGAGACTCTGGCCTGCGGAGCTTACAGCAGGTATGCACATTCAGTCATGAAAAGTTTTATTTCACATATATGAGAAGCTCTTATTTGAAACCTTTTTGGGAAAATAAAGGTTGTTTAATGTTACATATTAACTTCCAAGGATTTATTTTTAGATGATTAAATTAATAACAAAGCAAAAGTATTATGAAATACATCTGTCATCACTGATCAGTAGTAGTAGTACAGTAACTTTAAAGAATTAACAATTATAATTTATTTATATTGTGTGGTTTTTTTTTTTACAGAATATGACAGAAGGTAATAATGATATCATATATTATAGGTGATGGCTATACTATTACTAGACTAATAATTTCTCTGTATTCACATATATATCGTCCTGAATATGCATGAAATAATTGCCACTGGACGTTAAGCAACCAACAATCAATGTATTCACATATGATATATTTAAACATATAAATCAATCATCTCATGCATGCTATCTTGACTTCACTGCTGAGTGCTCCATTAATAATACTACTATGCTTGCCACTGCAGTGCAGTGCTTACTGCTACTACCTCAGGCTTTAGTCTTTTAGTACTATTTTTCCAACTGATATCATTCATATTTTGTCTAATTGTATTTGACATTTCAATTTAAACCAGTATGTGATTAAATCATGATTAAACATGTTAAATAAATGCATCATTTCCAAAGCTATATTTTTGAGGCCTCTACAAGTAAATAAATTAATCAATTTATTAATAACTGTTTTCAGATTTTGGTGTAACACACATTGAAAAATTAGTCAAAAGGTTTGGAACTGTTCGGAGGTCAACTGGTGTTGATATTGAGGAATTACCTGGAGAATGGAGACACCTTCAACGACTTGTATACCGCAAGTATGTAGTATGTGTTAATGTATATATTGTTACATTTATACTAGTAGTTGCTCTTGTTATCACATTTATTTTTCCATTTCATGAAATGTGATTATGTCAGTACTAGATTTTTTGTTTGCATATATGTACATCTTAATTTGGTTATGTATAATATATTAATATTATACATTTGAGTATGAATCGGAAAGGTTTTTTCTAGTCAATCTCAAATGAAAAAAAGAATTCAAAGCTCAATAATGAATATTGAATTTATTAACATTTTGTTTTCAGGTTTACATACTGTGCTTTGAGTGAAGTATCCTTGGTACAGTTGAATGAGAGTTTTTCATCCATGGGTGTTATTGTAAATGCTCTTTTGTTCCGACGTTGGAAAGTTCCGGGCGGAAAGAACAAACTAGCCAAAAAGTTCCTAGTTACTTTGTTCTTCCTCTAGTTTAAAAGTTCCACCGGAACAAAGTGACTAGTTGAAAAGTTCCAACAGAACATATCAACTAGTTAGAAAGTTCCTTTTTGCCAAATTAGTCAAAACCGGAACTAACAAACTAGCCCAAAAGTTCCAACAGAACTTATCAACCAGGCAGAAAGTTCCATTTGGAGAATTGATGCAAAGTAAAAGCACAACATATTATATTTGAACCTTTCAAAGGGAAACCAAGATACTGATTACAAAAGTCAAAAGGAACTTATCACCTAGCCACAAAGTTCCTCTTTGGCAAATAAGTCAAAACCAGAACTAACAAACTAGCCCAAAAGTTCCAACGGAACTTATCAACCAGTCACAAAGTTCCATTTGGAGAATTGATGCAAAGTAAAAGCGCAACATATTATCTTTGAACCTTTTCAAAGGGGAACAAAGATACTAGCCACAAAAGTCAAATGGAACTTATCAACTAGTCACAAAGTTCCTCTTTGTTAGGGTTAGGGTTTGGTTAGGGTTAGGGTTAGGTTAGGGTTAGGGTTAGGGTTAGGGTTAGGGTTAGGGTTAGGGTTAGGGTTAACTATTCAACTAGCTACATTGTTCCGGGACTTTTCAACTAGCTACTTTTTTCCGTAACTTTTCGACTGCACTCGGAATAAAACAACTAGTTGGAAAGTTCCTTTCGGAACGAAATAACTAGTTGAAAAGTTCCGCCGGAACAAAGTAACTGACGGAACATAGTGGCTGTTACATTAACAATGTTCATCTGCTGTTGGACATGTTAAACAGTTTGCCCCCTACATCAGTTTACAATGAGACAGCATTTAATCAGATGAAGCTTCTAAAGACTGACAGAAGGCATAGATTGGGTGGATCTCGTCTCGATGACTGCATGATGACTAAACTTGAGGCCCCTAGAGTACAGGAGTTTGACCCAAGTGATGCTATTGAAAAATGAATGGTAATTTACTATTACAAAATATTTTGAATATTAAATGGTTTGAAATAATATTCAAATAAATTGACAATCCCCCTCAAATTTCTTTCAGTCTGTAAAAATTTGATTCTTCTGAAATGAGAGAAAAGCTAGGTCCTTGAAAATTAGTATTAAAAAAAAATTGACTCAGTCTTAAGCTTTAAGTATTTAAAATTGTTATGAACAATTTACTGTAGTAAATCCACTATTCCCTACTCCCTAATGTGTTTTGAGCTTGGCATGAAATTGTGTGTTGAATTTGATTTTCTAGGGTTTTGAATACTGCATTTGTTCTTATTTTCTAACACTGATAAAAATGTTTTTACTTCAGTCATGTGGACAAGGTTAAAGGAGAACACAGTAACAGAGGAAACTAAAATCAGCTGTGAAAGAGAATGCTAATAATAATTTAATTGCTGTGGACAGTGACAATGAATCTATTCAGAATGATAATGAAAATATTGCTATTAATGAAAATGACAATGTTCAAATTGAAAATGTTGACATGGACCAAGAGCTTGCAAGATAATAATGCAGATAAGGAACCTGAACCTGAAAATGAGAATCAGGTCCAGGATGAACTTAATGAGGATGTTACTGTAGATCAGGAAACTCTGCGTCTTGAACCTGTTACTAATGAGAACATTATTACTGTTCAAACAACTACTGATGAGAAAGATGATTCAGATGATGATGATGAAATGGAAACAGAAGATAACTTTGAATTTGAACAATCTGAAGACCAGAACTGGTCATTCATTGTGAAATTTTCTTGTGGGGGTATTTATTTTAAATATATTATTAATCAAAATAAAATTAACTCTGCCGTTTGC